TAGGAATTGAATCAACACATAGTTTTTAGAGATTGGATTTCACTCAAAACCCACCAAATGACTCCTCCCACCATATTATGTTGTTGCCCAAGTTTTGGACTCAATCCGATATCGATTGGTCCATGAAATCGGAGAATTCAGGTTCGTAGGAAGTTCGTTCTGAAATGGAGTGGTTGGTGTATTGCATAGTTTTAGCCATTGGATTTCACTCAAAACCAACCAAATGACTCCTCCCACCATATTATGTTGTTCCCCAAGTTTTGGACTCAATTCGATATCGATTGGTCCATGAAATCGGACTATTCAGGTTCGTAGGAAGTTCGTTCTGAAATGGAGTGGTTGGTGTATTGCATAGTTTTAGCCATTGGATTTCACTCAAAACCAACCAAATGACTCCTCCCACCATATTATGTTGTTCCCCAAGTTTTGGACTCAATCCGATATCGATTGGTCCATGAAATCGGACTATTCAGGTTCGTAGGAAGTTCGTTCTGAAATGGAGTGGTTGGTGTATTGCATAGTTTTAGCCAGACTGGATTTCACTCAAACCAACCAAATGACTCCTCCCACCATATTATGTTGTTCCCCAAGTTTTGGACTCAATCCGATATCGATTGGTCCACGGAATCGGACTATTCAGGTTTCGTAGCAAGTTCGTTCTGAAATGGAGTGGTTGGTGTATTGCATAGTTTTAAGCCATTGGATTTCACTCAAACCCAACCAAATGACTCCTCCCACCATATTATGATGTTCCCCAAGTTTTGGACTCAATCCGATATCGATTGGTCCATGAAATCGGACAATTCAGGTTCGTACGAAGTTCGTTCTGAAATGGAGTGGTTGGTGTATTGCATAGTTTTAGACATTGGATTTCACTCCAAACCACACCAAATGACTCCTCCCACCATATTATGATGTTCCCCAAGTTTTGGACTCAATCCGATATCGATTGGTCCAAAAATTGGACGATTCAGGTTCGTATGGGAAGTTCGTTCTGAAATGGAGTGGTTGGTGTATTGCATAGTTTTAGACATTTGGATTTCACTCAAAACCCACCAAATGACTCCTCCCACCTATATTATGATGTTCCCCAAGTTTTGGACTCAATCCGATATCGATTGGTCCTGAAATTGGACAAATCAGGTTCGTACGAAGTTCGTTCTGAAATGGAGTGGTTGGTGTATTGCATAGTTTTATACATTGGATTTCACTCAAAAACCCACCAAATGACTCCTCCCACCATATTATGATGTTCCCCAAGTTTTGGACTCAATCCGATATCGATTGGTCCCTGAAATTGGACGATTCAGGTTCGTACGAAGTTCGTTCTGAAATGGAGTGGTTGGTGTATTGCATAGTTTTATTGGATTTCACTCAAAACACACCAAATGACTCCTCCCACCATATTATGAAGTTTCCCCAAGTTTTGGACTCAATCCGATATCGATTGGTCCATGAAATCGGACAATTCAGGTTCGTACGAAGTTCGTTCTGAAATGGAGTGGTTGGTGTATTGCATAGTTTTAGACATTGGATTTCACTCAAACCCACCAAATGACTCCTCCCACCATATTATGATGTTCCCCAAGTTTTGGACTCAATCCGATATCGATTGGTCCATGAAATCGGACAATTCAGGTTCGTACGCAGTTCGTTCTGAAATGGAGTGGTTGGTGTATTCCATAGTTCTAGAGATTGGATTTCACTCAAAACCAACCAAATGACTCCTCCCACCATATTATGATGTTCCCCAAGTTTTGGACTTAATCCGATATCGATTGTTCCATGGAATCGGACAATTCAGGTTCGTAGGATGTTCGTTCTAAAATGGAGTGGTTGGTGTATTGCATAGTTCTATTTATTGGATTTCACTCAAAACCCACCAAATGACTCCTCCCACCATATTATGATGTTCCCTAAGTTTGGGACTCAATCCGATATCGATTGGTCCATAAAATCGGACAATTCCGGTTCGTATGCAGTTCGTTCTAAAATGGAGTGGTTGGTGTATTCCATAGTTTTAGAGATTGGATTTCTCTCAAAACCAACCAAATGACTCCTCCCGCCATAAAATGTAGCGGTACTGTTGCTACAGTTACAAATTTTAAAATTACCATTACGTCCTTTTCGTTTATAGACTTTTCCTCTTTTGTTACAACTCGGAACATCATAAACGAAAAGGACTTTAAGGTCCCACCCAATGGTCCACCCAAATCCCCAAATTCCTTCCCAAATCAAAAGTCAACTTTATACTAATAAAATAGTCTTTTACTTGAATAAAATTGGGTTGTTACAAAACTCATGGTAACCGAAAGAAGAAAAAAAAATTAGAAAAAATAAAAAAATGTGAAACGAGTTGCAGAGAATGCTAATGTCGAAACCTTCGTCTCTCGCTGGTAGACTTCGTTGCTCTCCTAATTTCGCCCTGACTTTGTTCTTACTCTTTCTTTCACTCTCGTGCTCGCTCTCTCTCTCTCTCTCTCTCTCTCACTCGCTTCGTGTTGTGCCCTCGAATCGCTTTTCTTATAACACAAGGTTGGAGACGTGTGCCAATCTAATTTTTTGTAATGAGTGTTATATTCTTTTTAATTTAAAATGAAGTTTTGAAGCTATAACTTCTCCAGAATAACCACAGACCGCTTTGGACGAGTATTTGGAGGTTATAGGTACCGCCAAAAATTAGAAACTTCATCTGGCGAGCTTGTTTGAACGCTCTAGCGGTTGGCCAAAATCTTAAACAAAGACATGTTGATCTTGAGGATGTTTGTGCTCTCTATGGTGTGAATGGGAATGGGTACATCTTTTTTTTTTTTTTTTTTTTTTTTTTTTTTGGGGGAAAAATTGCTCAATTGAATCAAGCAAACCCATTTTATAATTTTTTCTAAAAATACCACCCCTTCCTTAAAATTTTAAAACTACCACGTATAAATACATCTTTATTGTCGACTGACTGCACCCATATCACTTTTTCAAAAATTGTGTTCTCTCTCAACTCTCTTGGCTCCGTCTCTCACTGTCGCTCAGCTCTCTTGCGCAGATCTCTCTCTCTTGTGTAACTCTCTCTCTCCGACGCAGTGGTCTTCCTCCCTCAGCGATGTCTGTTCATGCAAGCTTAACTCCACGGTTCACATCCACAAGGTACTGTTCATCGTCCTTTTCTTAGAAATTTGGGGTTTTCGTGAATTTGGTTTAGGGTGTATGGATTTATATGAATTTGATTTAGGGGTTTCTTCGAAATTGGTTTAGGGTTTTAGGATTTAGGGGTTGCTCTAAAATTGGTTTAGGATTTATGGGTTTCTATGAAATTGGTTTAGGGGTTTCTTCGAAATTGGTTTAGTGTTTCCTTGATGCACCACATATTTCTTACCCTTTAATTCTGCTGAGCGTTGGTTTTTAGATGCTTGTATTAACTACAAACTTGCATTCTCTTTCATTAAGTGGAATGAACTTGAGACGTGTGCTATATTTTAACCCAAGCAATGACATTCTCAGCCTGTATATCTATTATAATATAGCATGGGTCCGTCCGAGTGCTTAACGGTGTTTATCATGTTTGCATCTCATGCCTTAACTCCCTCTATTCTCTCGGGTAGCTGTCAGATTGTTTTCATTTTACAATACAGACTTATGTTTTATGCATTCATAATAATTTTTTTTTGGTTAATTATATTACACTAGGTTGATTCTCATTTGTTCAGTTGTGGAGACATTCTTTTGGTTTTTCTTGAACTCTATCCCCCATATACGTTATACGAGGTTTCTTTCCACTAATATGACCTCAATGAACCTCTTTTCTATTTGGATCCGATATAAGTTTTCTTTTCTTTCTTAGAAATAAAAAAACTCTTGATTTTCAAGGCTACAAACATTCAAGGCAACTAATGAATAATCCTTGAATCTCAGTGTTAGTGCTATTGTAGGAAAAACTTCTTATCTTTTCAAAATTGCATCTTATGCTGTCTGTAACACCTCAACCTAGGAATGCATGTTAATTGCTTCACTCAAACATATTGTGTGCAGCATGGGAACTATTTTTTTTCCTTTTTCAGAAAAGATTATTAAACACTATGCACAATACACTCATGAGAAAGCCACAACCAACTTACAATAAGAAAGAGCTAAACCAAACACTCTAATCCAATAGGACGCAACTTATGAAGTTACCTGATTTGGAATTTTGTTATCGTAGTCTTCTCAAAATTTAAACTTTGACATAAATATTGCTTCTTTTTCCTTCATCTCATGTGTTTTGTTGCTCATTATTTCTTCTTCTTGTTTCCCTATCCATCAATGATTATTGCACCTTCCTAAGTTCATTCTTTCAAATTTCTTCAGGATTAAGTACAGTATAAGCATTGTTGCTGACAAGGGTTTGAAGAAAACTCTTTATACTTCTGCGCGTTTGAAGAAGGGAGAAGTTCTTTATTTACAAACACATTCAGGCAGGTATAATGCTAACTATATATTGTACTGTGTATCTAGGATTTGACCATGATATGTTTTAAGGACTAATATTTGATTATCTCATATTTTTCTTCATTTGTGTTGGCTACTGAATGTTGTGTAACATAGGAGATGAGTTACTTGTAAACAAGGGAACATTGACATTTTCCTTCCTATTTCTAGTTTGTTTAGCTAAACAACATAACCGAGGAGTGTTTGCTTGCTTATAAAATACAGACTTCTGTCTTTATTCTTTGTCTTTCACCCTTTGTACATTTCTTCTTATTTTTCCTGAGCTTGTTTGGTTTCATGAGCATATGTTCCTTTGGGATTTGGCAATATGTATCTGTGATATGGTTCTCTCTTTTGTTAATATCTGTGATATGGTTCCATCTTTTGTCTATATTGTACCTTTGTCACTGATATATCTCCTGCCTATTGCCTTGATATGCCTGTGTATTGCGTGTTTATTGCTTGTTATTGTGTAGATTTCAACGGCCTGAAATTATTTGTATAATATTGGTGTCCAGGGAAATATGGTTTCTCCAATTAAATTGATGATTACTAAGGAAGCAAAGTTCCAAGGAAAGGCGTTGTCCCTTTCCCATACAAAGACTGCAATCAGTACCATAAAGGAGAAATTCAGTTTGCAACAGCTACGAAGGTTTGAAGAGAGTTGTTTTGGTCATCTCTTACTGATTGAGGACCTTAAGTGGACTTCGCCAATTGTCCACGGCTTGTTGCTGAGGAAGGCTGATCTGAAGACAGTTTCCCAAGTGAACGAGATAAAATTCATCGTTGGCAATAAGGTGATCCAATTCACAGTGCAGCAATTTTGCGTCGTCACAGGGCTAAGGTTTGGAAACCTTCCTTTCATTCCGATTGCAACTAATGAGAACTGCTCATTGAAAAGGAAGTACTTTTACAATGATAAAACTGTTAGCCTTTTGGAACTAGAAAAAGCCTTCCTCGACTGTGCTGATGAGGACGATGCATTCAAGCTTGGATTTGTATACTTTGTTGTTTTTGTGTTGTTGAGTAGTGAAAAACATGTCCACATTGACATGCAGTATTTGAAAATGGTGGAAGACCTTGAAGAGTTTGTGAAGTACCCATGGGGTGCTGTGTATTATGCCAAGACAAATGCCTCACTTTTGAGGGCACTTTGTGCAGATTACCAGGGAGTAAAAGTGCCCAAAAAAGCTACAAAAACAAAAAAATATGAAATGAAAGCAAAGACAACGGCAACTGGTAGACCAAGAGAGTACCACATCAAAGGTTTTGTCTTTGCACTTCAGGTGAGCAAATTTCCATTCATTTTCAAGTTCAATTTCATTTGTTTACAGTGAGTGACGTTTTATTCTTCAAACTAGATTTGGGCTTATAAGGTCTTTTCAGCGTTGGCTGCACTGCATTTTGTCGTGCACGAAGAGAATGCCTACATCCCTCGTATACTAAATTGGAAAAGCAATACTTCGGCTCATTTTCATGAGCTAATGAGCCAAGTATTCGAGAACTGTGAGGTTAGTTATGTTTTTAATGATAATGTTATGCATATGAAAATATAATAAGTTTACTGATATGTATATTGTATGTGTAAATTGCAGGTTGATGTGCAACTTCTCTGCCCAACTGTAATTGACAAGCAGCAACCCTATTGGACTTGGGGTGACAATGTTGACGACACTGAAGAAATTGTTGAGTTGTTTGGCGATGACGCTGAAGAAAAAACCAGCACTTTTGCTTCTGTAGAAGAAAAAGATGATGACATTGACGAAACTGCTACCCTTCTGTCGTCTTCTAAGGTAAGCATTACCTTTTTCCAATATATACGTCATAATACAATAGGAAAACAGTAGCTGTATTTGGGTTATATTTTGGAAGTATTGTAATAGTTGCTTTATAAATGAATGCAGGGTAAAGTCCAGTCCACTGAGTTGCGCACTTTGAAGCGTGACTTTCAAAGGACAAAGGATGAATTGGCCAAGGTAGCCAGATCAAATCAAGCGCTTCAAAATAGAGTGCATGACTTGGAAGAAATGGTACGGAAGGAGTCGTTGAAACTTGAAAAGGAGTGTGCAAAAAATAAAAAGTGTGGAGGATTTCGGCAAGACCCTCGCTTCAATCGAACACTATTTTAAGCTGGAGATAGAGCAGTTCAAAAAACGAAATGGTGGGTTGAATGAACGTGTGTAAGGACATGAGGAACTTGGTAGTCCTCATATGAATGGAGGAGGTGACACTGACATGTCGTCCTTACATGAATATGTTAGTCCGCCTACATAACCGGCAGTAATGGAAGCACAAGTCCTCGGTGATGGAGCCAAACCCTCCGCAGCCATGGAAGTCCAAGAGGCAGAAATGGCCGCTTCAGTTCCTCACATACAAGTGCATGAAGCAGCTGAGCAGGCAAAATTTGAGAAGCTTCCTACCCCGGAAGATGTGGCCGGGTGCAAAGAAATCTGCAAAACACTGTTGTTTTTGTTAGAGGATTGAAAAATAACCAACATTATGCCATCGGGGAGGTCAGATGAATCCTCCAATCATACCCAAGGTTAGTGTGGCTGGTGATGACGAAGGTAGTGCGAGTGTTAAAAACAAGAGGTGGAAGGTAAAGGGTGCAGAAACAAGCGCCCGGGCCTGACATTGTTGAGTCCATTTACTGATCCTTTGAGGAAGAAGAGGACGATGAGTGTGTCGGATGTGGCTGCAACCCCGCCATGTTTTGATCCAACTAAACCCCTACACATTGAAGATATGAAGGCAGTAATAGAGTTTTGCACTGCTTGGAAAAACGATATAAGGTTAGGATTCTTTACCTTGGAAATCCAATCTTCTTGTTATTGTAGTATGCAGTGATATACCAATGAGAAAGTGTAGAGTTTTCTTTAATATACATGTGTGTATTTGTCATAATTTACAATGTCCCAATTATTAGATGAGTACAAAATTCACTGTTGCAAGTTTGCCTATTGTAGTGTGGAGGTGTAGCTGGAATCATGTTCAGTGGGCCCTAAGTTTTTCTACAAATTGATCGATGATACGAAATGGATTAGCTCAAGGGTAAGAATTTTAACTATACGTCATTAGGATAATTCAATTGTTTTCTCACCTTTGTTAAGTGTACATTTGTACTAAATTGTGCCCATATTATATACGTCAACTTCCAGCACCTTGACATGGCAACCTTTCTCATCCAGAAAAGGGAACTCTCTCATCCGTTGGTATTTGGAACTCACTGGACAACGGCAGATTATTGCTTGCAGGTAGACATGTTACCATGTCACATTTACTGCTTCAATTGCATCCAGTTGTCATTCTGTAATATGCCTTAATTTCAATGTCTGCAGCAATTTCTAGAGCCGGTCAAAGGGTTTGCCAAGAAACAAGGATCGAAGAAGGCAGCTGCTTCAAACACCGTTGACCTTCCACCCAGCAACCTGAACAACATACATCACTATGTGCGCAGTACGTGGCAACACGAGTATGGACAAGCTTGGACAAAAGTCCGAAAGGTCTATTTTCCATATAATCTTCAAGGGTCCCACTGGGTTGCAATCGAAATTGACTTCATCAAACATACTACAACTGTGTATGACTCCTACATTGCTTTTACCTCCACTTCAAAGCTGGTTAAATATTTGCACCCTATTAGCGATACGTTGGCACGGGTGCTGTACGAGATGCACTTTTATGACGCTTTTGAGGTTGAAGGGGTTAAGCAAAAGGGGATGAAGATGTCGATGTTTACGCCATTCACAGTTTGCAGCATTGGAGATGTGCCACAACAACAGGATGGTAAGCTTTGTGAATTTAGTGCAGTTTAGTGATATTGTACATAACTGCAGTTCTAATTTCCGAACTTATTGGCCCGACAATACCTCTTGCAGAATCAATACTGTCAAATTCATCGAGTATCTCAATGCTTGCATTTCGTTGGATAAAGTTGATCTTTTAAGATCAAATATTACCGACTCAAGCTTGCAATCGAGGGTTTAAGGGGGGAGGCATATATATGAGGTAAATGTCATAATGTTTGTGAATTAAGTTTAGTCTGGACTTATGACTTGGGAATTCACTGTGCTCCTTAATTATGTCAGGAAGTCCTTTATATGAAGATGCAGACATAGAAGCTTAGCTGGAGGTGCTTTATATGGTAATCCAGCCTTTTTGATAGAGCTAGTTGGTTTAGTTATTATGTGTAGCAAGGTGAAATCATTTCCCGGTTCTTCGGCCCTATTGCACATTTTGAAGTTGAACTATTTTGTACACCTCCGTATATAACCATAGTTGTTCTTTATGGAGGTATAACACTTTACTTGTTTGAAACGGCGTGTTCATTTCCACTGAATTCTACTCATTTTTGTATCCATTGTTGACATTTAGTCTCTGTGGTTTTCTTTGCAATTTATGTGATATAGGTATATTTCATTTCCTGCATTGGGAATCTGTTAGTGGACTTAGTGAAGCATACAGCTTTCTTAAGATTTCGCACATTAGTTTTGACTTTGTTCCTTTTAAATAATTTCTGTAGCAATTCTACTTTTCTGCTTAGCATTCTGTTGTTATTGGAATTTGGAACCTCATATTGTTTAGAAAGGGGTAAGATATACTCCACCACAATATTAGAAAAATAAGTCCCTCTTTTGTTCAGAATTTTTCATTAATAGCTATTCTGTCAGTATATTTACCATTAGTACAGTTTTTGGGCGAAGTTCGTATGAGCAGATGACTAATTTGAAATATGTAATCGATCATTTTGCGCTCTGACTCAATCTTTGAAACATTGGTGTGGTGACTAATAGATGCGCAGTGTGCATGTACAAAGAAATGTGCAGATTCATTTGTTTACTTCCATGTGTTAGAAATCATGGTAATGTAATAGTTTTATCACAAAAGAATGAAGGTTTGGAATGCATAGAAGCCTGCAATATACACTAAGTATAGAGATGGTTACCAAATATCATGTTGAGCATTGTGACCCGTGCAAAGTTAAACTGCATAAATTAGTTTACTACTTGTTCTTTATCTTTTTGAAGATTCATTACTTGTTCCAAAAATTAGTTATCCATATTAGATCACTTAATGTTTGAACTAATGGTCATCAACTCAATCCTGCCTTTGCTTGCTTGGAGAAGCTCTGCTGTTTACTTTTTTGTGTCAAAAGGTTCAATGGATAGCTATCTATCCATTCCTAATTAAATCCATGTGTTCTTTGTTTTCCTTACAGGAAAATGAAGGTCAAACAATGGACATATGTCAAAAATGAAAAACAGAGGAAGTGCATTATTCGTTTCTGCCTAAGACGCAATAAACTGGTGATAGGTTGGTTATACAGTAGCAATACAAAAGCGATAAAAGGGTGCTAGAAATTTCTGTTTCTGTTTATTTTGGGCTTCTTCTTTTGTTTCATTTCATTTACTTAGCTTTAATAATTGGATGATTACGAGATGAATTTGTGTGAATTATTAATACAACAATTACATATAAGAAGATTAAGACGAACAACATATCGTATCACCAAACATAATCAAACCACCAAATGTAATCATCCTTTTCTTCAACCCATCAGGAATCATTTGCATATTTATTCATACCTTCCTTTTTGTGTACATTATTTTTTAGTTGTTATTATTTTTTTAAAGGGTTAATGACCTAAACTATTGCTCCAGTATCATTTTGATCCACCAACTAAAATTTTCATTTCAAATGTCCTTAAACTTTTTATTTTGTACCAAGATGGTTCTTCCGTCAAAGTCTTTGTATTATTCCGTTAAATCGAGGGACAAAACCATATTTTTAGGTGAGTATCCTCTTCTAAAATGACCAAGCCACTGTGGTATCGCATTCCCTCCCATTTATGTTAGAAGCTCCACCAAAACCCCAAAATTAGAACCCTAGATTTGCAATGTCGGAGATTTTAACGTCAGAGATTTCAACGAAGATAATTTGTCGGACTTCATGGACAGATTTGAACCCAGGAAGAAGGTTCGATGCTTGTGATAAAAATTGGGTAAGTTATTATTTGGGTTGCAAAAGTTGTTCTTTTCCATTTGTAATTGCTTGATGAGGTTTGAAATTGGGTAAGATTTGATTTGCCAGAATAGCAGAAGAGGTATGCATTATTTCGAGTGGGTGGATAATGAAACTTGTCCAAGAGGAAAACAAGTGGTCCCTAGTTTGCTTAGAAGACTTAGAGCAATGGAGGAGGAAGGTAGAGCACAAGAAGAACAATTGAGATATGTGGAAGAAAAAAAGAAAGAACTGCAACAGAAATTGAAAGAAATGTTTCAAGAAAAAAGGTTTTGGAATGGGGTCATGGGCAAAGACAATTGATAATGTGGGTTTCCTTGATTTTGTCTTGGGGTTTGTTTATAACATTTGTGATGAATGGGAAGTTGTAACTGTTACTGTTATGGGGTTTGTTCCTTTGAATGTAATGGTTTTGAAATGTGCAAGCAATTACAGAGTTTTAGCCCTTCAAACTCAAAACCAATTACACAGTCTAAAGTCAGAATCAGTCCCTTTTGTCACAAAATCCCTCTAGCCAAAAAATTACATATCCCAAAATACACAAAATATGACAGCCTTAGCAATAATTTCCCCTATATTGAGGCCATGTTATTATCATGAGAAATGTTGTCCAAAGCTGGTCCTCCATGTCCCCTTCCTCTTGCCACCTAAACAATGTAGTAATGTCAGGTGTATAATAGTTCAAAAATTGGCAATTAGTGAAATGAGTAAGAAATGAACCAAATGACAAAAACCTACAGTTGATCGTGAAGATGGTAAGCCTCTTCCTCCACTTATGCCTCTTCCTAAGCCTCTTCCTCTAATTGCACTTAGCTTTGAAGATGGTAAACCTCTTCCTAAGCCAATATGTGAAGATGGTAAGACTCCTTGTCCATTACCTCTTGTCACCTGAAAAAGTTACTGATCTTTATTGTTTTCCAATGACATAAGCAATAAAAAATTGAAAAAAATGAGAAAATAAAGCTTACGCTTTCTTGTGAATATAGAAACATTGCCTCTTCCTCTACTTATGCCTCTGCCTCCTTCTCCGTTACCTCTTGCCATCTAAAAAAAATTAATGATTTCAGCTACCTAATGACTTTTGCAATTTAAAACCACAAGAACAACCAAAGCTTACCTTTTGTAGAGAATTAGGGTAAGCAGTAGCTTGAGCAACTCTTCCTCTACTTATGCCTCCCCCTCTGCTTATGCCTCTCCCTCTTACTATGTTAGAAGAATAACCTTGCTCCATTTGGGTTGAAGATGCATGAACCTGCAAATGTATAATAAAATTATTAATGTAAGTACGCCATAACATAGAACTAAACAAGGTGTCTAACAGTCATACCTGGTGGGGCAATATAATTTGGAGGCATAGGGTTTGGTGGGATGGGGGTTGGTATTTCAACCTCACCAAGCTCCTTCATCCTAACTCTTTTAGGCCTACCCGGTTGTTGCTTATAAAGTGGAGGTTTAATTGGAGGAAGGCCACATTTACTCCATTGGTCCATTGAAGGGATGGGGTGAATCACTAGTTCATAAGCCTTCATATAAGTCTCGAGCTTATAACAATCATCCACATAAGTAATTGGGTTTTCATGTCTTTGAAATATTGCTGAGATTGCATGGGGACATGGTATTCCACATAAATTCTACCTCCTACAAGAGCATGTCTTTGCTCTAAGGTCTACAACAAATTATCCACCATAAATGTGGCTCACTTTATACAATTTCTCACCAGCCAATCTAGGAATGCATTGTGATGAACCTAGCTTGTTCTTCTCAATTATCTTGAAGATCCTAGGCCCAACAGAGTATCTCCAATTCTGACATGCAAACCTGCTACTAGCCATCCTAAGCATCACATACACCCTTATCCTCTCCAAGAAACTCAAAATTGTCTTATCCCTTGCATCTAGTATGGCTGCATTGAAACTTTCACATAGATTATTCAACAAAAGATCACATTTAAAATGTGATTCAAAGTGAGATCTGCTCCAATTATTTGCAGGTCTCTTCTTCAACCACTTCCATGCTTCCTCATCCTCATTTTTCATCTTCTCCATTTCTGCCTCCCACCAAGGCACAGTTGTAGCTCTTGCTGCAGCCCATAATATATGTTTCAGAGCAAGACCAATATGTGATGCCCTAAAGTTACTGCACATGTGTCTCACACACATCTTGTGCTCTGCAGTTGGAAGTATTGTCTCAATGGCAAGTATAAATCCCTTTTGTTTGTCACTAATCACTACCCAAGCTTTTCCATTTGTAATCCCTAAATCTTCAATAAGAAGATTGAAAAACCAAATCCAAGAGTCTTTACTCTCAATATCAACCACTGCATAAGCTACTAGGAAATAACCATTGTTCCCATCCACCCCAACAGCTGTCAAGATCTATCCAGGATAAGGCCCTTTCAAATGGCAGCCATCAACACTATTAACAGGTCTGTAACCTTCTAAAAATCCCTTCTAACAAGCAGCCAAGCACATATATATCCTTTGAAACACTGTCTCACTCTTCACAATCTGAGTTTTAATCTTAACTATACTACCCTTGTTTGCTGTTGATTCAATTCCTAACAACTAAAATGAGTTATTAAAAATAGCAACTTTAATTCTCGCAAGTGCACGAACCATTTATAGTATAGCTTAGGTAAATACGAGGTCAATCCCACGGAGAATGGTAACTTGGTTCCAAGTTTAATTACTTAGAATGCTAGAAAAACATAGAACAAGGAAACTGACTAACTAGCTAAAGGCAAGGTCGAATTCAATAATGCCTCTTGCTAATTACTCAAGATCTAGGACAGAATCCTAGCACCACACACGCACTCAAAATGGGGGGTTTTGTTGTTGAAATGAAAAGAAGAAAGTGAAATGAAAGTGCTCAAAAGTAAACACTGGACAGATTGTCAAACAATAATTGAGAGGTGTTAGAGCCTTGTAATCCACCACTAGTTTTCCTATCCAAATTATGAATGCATAGAAATTGACTCAAGCTTCATCAATAACAGATTATCGCATACAAGCCTATGGTATCTAGGTGTAGGACGCATGATACTCCTAAGGCATGTAATTGTGCATGGTATCTACACAACACGTGATCTCTAATATGCAACCTAAGCATGGTATCTACTTAGAATAAAGCATACAATAGTCATTAAGCTCCTTGAGAATATGATAATCACACAAGTCTTAGAACATGGTATCTGTCCTAGTCAACCTATGTTTATTAACCCCTTGAATGATTCTTAGGCCATTCATGTGTTGCTTGTGAAAGGAGAGTAGAATTGGTGAATCTAAACCCCTTCCCAACCTGTGCTAGATGCATAAAATCCTAGTTAGCTACTCTAAGAAAACATACATCAAGCACATAATAAACTGGAGATTAACAACTTGATAATGAAAGAAAGGAAATCAATTAACTATAAAATCATCCATAACATTGAATATTCATGACTAGGGCTTCATCCTAAGCCCAAACTAAATGGATTAGTTAGACATAACTATGAATACAGAAAATAAGAAATACATAGATAGGATAAAGAGAGGAGAAGAACTAGATGATGGCAGCAAGGAATTCCCAGGACAGCTCCAAGCTCTCTTATCTCTTTGTGGTGAATCTGAATTTGTGTATGAGAGTAATGGGTGAAGTGAAAATGTGTATCTGACTCTCTATCTCTTTGAATGAGTGTGCAGCCCTCTATTTATAGAGTGCAATTTCGTCCTCCCCTTTGGCTGGTGAAGCACACCTCTCTTAGCTGCTCCCAACAACTCCAGCAGCCCATACTTGCCACCTGCTCCAGATGCCCATACTTGCCACCTGCTCCAGCTGCCAAATACATGCTTTGGTATGGTTTTTTAATGGAAAACTTGACTTTTGTTCATCCTTCTGAGTTTCTGAGCTGATTTGACTCCCATGTGTGGCTGCCCATACTTAGCACATGGCTCTAGGGATGTAGACACATTTAAATGTGATGGCAGCCAACATGACATTTCTGTGAACTTGGTTAAGTCTTTGACATGCTGAGGGCTCCATATTTATCCAATTGGGCTGAAATTTGGATATGTGATAATTGGAACAACTTCTATCAAGGATGTCTCCTCATCCGACCTGTGTAAGTTGCTGAAATGAGGACTGCAAGATGACCCACGAAACTGGACTGACAAGGAGTGTGGCCCAAATTGGGTTTGTCTTTAAGCTCATATTCCTCTTATCCCAATCAGCCCTTAACAAGCATGGATTGCATCAAATGTGATCTCTTGCTGTCTTAACCTACAAAACAAACAAAAAGAGGTAAGTGACTCAAAATAAAGAGAAACTAAGCAAAGTCACTAAGTAAAGAAGTCATGCGAATGTATGAAATTATGAACTTATCATTTGCAATTTTCAATTCTTCTGCATAATCCCACAATCTAGCATATTGTTCTTTGAAAGTACCTTCATTTAAATCTCTGGCTAGCCTCTTTGCCCTATAAACTTGAATTTTGGTGACATTTATTTTGTAATCTTCCAACACATCTTCTTGAAATGATTTCAGATCAAAGTCTGAGTTGCGCTTCAGCTTGTTTGCATATCTGTCACAAAGCCATTTTGATGTAGTATGCCTAAGGTTGTCCACTCTTCCACATTGATGTTCTAGGCTCAAAGTTTTTACTGCAAATGTCCCTTCCTCTCTATTAATCTTTGATCCATATACCTGGAAAGAACACCCTTTCACACATTTAGCCTGAACTCATCTGTTGTCGTTTTTTTTCAATTTCACTTCCCTACCCTCTATAATTGCATGCTCCTTGATAGCCTCTATTATTAGTTTTTTGTTTGCAAACTTCATTCCCAATCTAAATTCAGGATTTTTCAAATCCACATCTCTTATATACTACTTAAACTTTGGAAATTTTATCTTTTCTCTACCGTTACCTCATCTTCAGTCTCACTTCCACTGTCAAATTCTGACGTGTCAGCACCATCTGATGACACCTCTCCTGGAGCACCATGACTAGTCCCCTCATCTGCTACAATCTCTCCAACAGTTGGCCTGACCTCTGCCTCATTTTCACTGAAATCATAATCACTGCCTTTAATTTCTGAATCTGCATTTTCATCTTCATTTGGCAATTCTTCCCCTTCATTATCAATTGTCACACGTACCCCTATATCTTCATTTGGTAATTCTACCCCTGCATCTTCCTTTGGTACCTCTTTGACCACATCTTCATTTGCCACTTTTGTCCTAACATTCTCAAAAGTCTCCTCATCTTCAACTTCAATATAATCCACCTCTTTCACTTGGTAATTGTGAGTCAAATCCCTATCACAATTCTCTGAATCTGCATCATACTCATAGTCTTCAATCTCACTATAGTATAACACAATAACCTTATTGGATGGTATGTGACCAACCATTTCAACCACTGTAGCATCTGATGTAACAAGCTCTAGTCCACCCTCAGGATTTTTACACCTAATTTACAAACGTTGCTCAACTTGAGAAATGTCAACATCATACCCAAGACCTCTCCCAATTTTCAGTAAATCTAACAAGGATAGAAAATCCTCTATAATATTGTCCAAATAACATACCTTACCCTTCTTACAAACCCCATTTTCAAACCAACCCCCATGATGTAATTCTAGAGTACACACTCCATTTGTAGCTGCAAAATTGAAACAACAATATGTTATTCTAAAGTCATAGTTTTGTTGTTAATGCTAACAACAACAAGGGCAACAATTACTGAGTTGGGTGTGAACCAGACAACCAAGGGACCACAGCCGTTTAAAAAAAACCCCATATTCAACATACAGGAACCACAACCAAGGGACCACAGACATAAAGCTTACACTCTGCAATCAATGTAGCAAAAGCCAAATCCACATACAAGAAAATGATTCCTTTACCCTTACTTTAAACATAAAACAACCAAAAAACCAAACCCAAACACAGAAAAAGGAATCTTTATAAAGAAACCACAGTTCCAGACAAGGACAACTCATCCATTTCATCCATTTCCAAACAAAAACAATATAAAATGCATTGTAGAAGCCCTTACCGTATTTGGGAGTCTTTCCACCCGAACGGAATTCATACTCCATTATCAGCAACTAGTGAATTTCCCAAAATCTCCAAAATCCCCAAAATCAAACCCTAACCTAAACTTCCAAATTCGAACTCCAAAACTAACACTAAAATTACACACTAACTTCACCAATTCAGTGACTCGCACACTACTACAGCATCGACCAATTCAGCAACTCGCATTAGAATCCCTTTCACTCAATGGTATTCGCGGGAAATGAGAGGGCTTCTCAAAAAGTGGAGGTATTTTGGAAGGATTTTGGTTCTAAACGATAGGGCTTCTCAAAAAGTCGCATATACCCTTCAAAACTCAGTCACGTGGCCATCGTGTGATCAAAAGTGACGGAATCTGTCATGGAAGGACCATCTTGGTACAAAATAAAAAGTGTGAGGACATTTGAAATGAAAATTTTAGTTGGTGGACCAAAATGATACTGGAGCGATAGTTGGGGGACCATTTAGGGCATTAACCCTTTTAAAAATAATTTCTTATAATGTCTTACGGTGCAATTATGATGCACCTGACTGCCTGTTTTTGAAAGGCACATTGTTTCTTTCTCGTTGTCTTCTTCTTTTTGAATGAAGTAGGGCCTAAATCGTAAACCCATTGATGAGCCGTAGTCAATATACATACAATATAATAGCAATATTAGGCCAATATACATGCACTAGAGAGGCAATATTAGGGCAATATAACCGCAATACAACAACAATAGTATCACAATATAAATACAATAAGGTGGCAATATGCATACAATATCTATACAATACACAAGCAATATTAGTACAATACACATACAATAGGAGAGCAATATTAATTAAATCTACATACAATACACACACATCCATTACAGACTACAATTTAGACATGCAAAATAAATCGCCACCGAAGCCTAACAATACTATCCCGCAAAGGGAAAAGGAAGGCAACACTTTGACATTACATCACCCAACACCGCATGAACCGAACCAACACTGACCCTTACTAGAGGTCCATCAAAAGATCCATGTCTTTGGCCTTCCTCTACGCTGCATGCACGAGGCTATGATGAGCCATTCCCTCTCCACCCACCAGCAACATCAATTTCACTCCAATTGTAGTCTGGTGAGATGACCGAAGCATAATCTCGGAACATTTCGAAGCCATTGTTGAAACATTCAACCATGTCATGGTTATATTCTTCAGATTTTGTGAAGTTTTCGACAGCATATTTCTTTGTCTCTTCTAATTTTAACTTGAGGGACTCTAACTCTTTGCTCTGACTTATTGCTTTTAGAGTTTGCTTCACTTCTCCAGCATATGCTTTGTTCAACTTGTTGGCCAATTTTCCCATAACTTGGCCATGAATATCACATTTGCTCTCCCACCACTCTATTGCCTTAGACAAATATTGGAGGTCGTGCTTGACGGCAGAGATTTTGTCAAGTGGATCATTGCTCTCAGCCTCACTTCCAGATGAAGTGGGATCGTGATTGGGAGTCTGAGGTGGAGATGGGAACGGCACATGTCACGGCTGGTCTCCCGGTTAACTGACATGCTCGTTTGGAGGGCGTACATCCAATATCTTTAAGTATTAGTGGGACAATTCACAGCTGCAAACTACATGAAAACAAATAAAGGTACATTCAGTCTCCAGTTTGACATTATGAACACTTGTAAACAACAATAACACCAAGAATAATTACCTTAGTTGTTTAGAAGGTGCGTATGCTGCAGAAATGGTAGGAAGCTTCAGTTATATGTAGGAACTTGTCTGAAGTATATTGGGTATTTAGTTGGTGCATTAAATTGATTGGCTTGCAAGCTACACCTTTTACTACTTGGCTGTCATTTAGAGCAGTAGAGCATTACAATAACAGCAATAAAAGTGCCTTACAAATGACAAAAACCAAACCTTAATGAGAAAATGGAAATTGTGGATTTCAGGCCAAAAAAGGACAATATAATTATATAACTAACCTATGGTAGGAAGCTTCAGTTATATGTAAGAACTTGTCTGAAGTATAATGGTATTTATTTGGTGCATTAAATTGATGGGATTGCAAACTACACCATTTACTACTTGGTTGTCATTTACAGCAGTATAGCAATACAATAACAGCAATAAAAGTGCCTTAGAAACCAAAAAAACCAAACCTAAATGAGAAAATGGAAATTGTGGATTTCATGCCAAAAAAGGACTGTGTAACTAACCAATTATTGGGAATTTGAAAAATGGAAATTGGAACAAAGGAAATTGGGGAAAATACGAAATTTGCCACAAAGGAAATTGGAACATAGGAAAAAGGATATTAGGCAAATACGAAATAGGAAAATTGGAAAATTGGAAACCAATTGAAATGGAAAAAATGGGAAATAAGATTATTACCTGGACAAATTTAATAAGTTGGTACTTTTGCCAAAGTAGGCAATTTCTTTAAATACAAAAATTGGGAAAACCAGGAAATTGGGAAATTCCAAATTATATATATAGAGAGAGGAATATATGAAACTTTGGGGAAATACGAAAATTCCCATATAGAAATTGGAACATAGAAAAAGTAAATTACGCAAATATGAAATAGGCAAATTAGAAAGTAGGAAAATTGGAAAATTGGAAATAAGGAAACTGGGAAAATAGAAAAATTGGAAAATTGGAAATAGGACAAAAGGAAAATTGGAAATAAGGAAAGTTGTAACATAGAAAAATTGGAAAATTGGAAATAGGACAAAAGAAAACTTGGAAAATTGGAAAATAGGAAAATAGGAAAATAGGAAAACTGGAAAACTGGAAAATTGGAAAATTGGAAAATCGGAAAAATTGAAATAGGAAAAAAGGAAACTTGGAAAATTGGAAACATGGAAAATTGGAAAAAAAAAAAAAAAAAAAAAAAAATAGGAAAACTAGAAAATTGGAAAATTGAAAAATGGAAAAATGGAAATAGGAAAAAAGGAAACTGGGAAAATTGGAAATAGAAAAATAGGAAAATTGGAAATAGGAAAAAAAGAAACTTGGAAAATTGGAAATAGGAAAAAGGAAACTTGGAAAATTGGAAATAGGAAAAAACGAAACTTGGAAAATTGGAAATAGGAAAAAAAGGAAACTTGGAAAATACGAAAATTGGAAATAGGAAAAAAGGAAACTTGCAAAATAGGAAAATAGGAAAATAGGAACATTGGAAAATGGAAAATTGGAAACTTGGAAAATTGGAAAATTGGATAATAGGAAAAATGGAAAATTAGAAACAAATTGAAATTGCTGAAATGGGAAATAAGAAATTACCATATTGGACAATTTGTATTAGTTGGTGAATTTGGCAAATTAGGCAAATTATTTCAATTACATAATGGGAATTTACCAAATTCGGAAAATCCAAAATAGAAATATATTAAGAAAAGGCATACAGCCAATTGGGCAATAACTCCCGGCCAATACTATCCCGCCCAAGACTCCCACCAATCCCTCCTCTCGCCAATTACTCCCCCCAATCCCTCCCACGAATGACTCTCTGATTTACTCCACATCATTAATGCCTTCCTATATTAATCAACCCAGCTGTATGAAGGGATTTCGATAAAATAAAAAAAAGTTGTCTAAAGGAAAAACTTGCATGACATTAACTCCTTGCAGCCATTACCTTCCCCACTGATTTCACTCACGTTGCATTTAGTCCCACTTTTCTCCAATTAAGTCCTACGCTAGCCTACAATAAATATCCAAAACCATGGACCATAACTTCACACCAAACCCAACGCTTTCAATTACTGAAGGAAGGGAGATTGAAACACAAGCCAAGTCACCCAATTCACTCACTGCAGACTTGGTCCATGGCATGCAGCAATGTCGAGGCAATACCATGTTTTGGAAAAATCTCCATGCAGACATAGTTTCAAAAATTGTGGAGGGCCAAGCTAGGTAGGGTGTCATAAAAAAGCGCACAATTCACTCTCGTTATCATGCCTGCATGCATCTCCTCCATGTAAAGGGTATGAAAGCCAAAATTGAAATTGCCCCTACCACTGCAATTATGGTATTCAAGGAATATAATGAAATGGCCCAATTGAAGCAACAAGTGGAAACCGGATTCGAACTATTTCGTAAGTTTGCAAAAATAGTGGATCCAGAAGGAAACTGGGACAACATCACTATGGGTGGGGTCATGAATTTCATGGGTCGTGGTCGCCGCAATTGAAGAGTATGCAACTTCGAATGTGTCAACAGTAGGAAATTTGTGACACTTTAATATGACTTTGGACTGGCTGTAAAATGTAGTCGAAACAACATGTCAAATGGAATCATGTTCAGGTGGGCTCTTTTTGTATTATGTAACTATGGGGTGGCCTCTTGTTGTATTATGTAAGTTTCGAAATTAGATTTTATATAATTATGATGCCTCTTTTTGTATTTCTGTGTATACAGTTTATCCATGTCCAGTTCAATGGCGATATAGAGGCAATAACTCCACAATAAGCATGTGTATAACGGCAATATGATGTCAATAAGAGTAAAATAGAGTTACAATACGATCCTATTGCAGTATGTACTGCATCAGCATGGTTTTTAAAATATCTTACACGAAAAAATTACAAAAAAGTAAACCAAAATTAATTTAAAAATTGGAAAAGGGATGAAGTATACATCCCTTAAAAGACATATGGCCTACATTACACACCTTCAATATGGACTCTATATATACAAATCATGCCTTGCATCACCATCACATCCCCCCCCTAAATTACAGAAACATGACACCACAAAACCTCATGCTCCTTCCTCTTTCAACCCCTAAGTTATCCATCGGATGCCCAATACTAGATGGTTGCTTGGGCAGTGGGATACCTTGCAACTCCATAACAAAATTGGTAGGGGAGAGCGGTTCCGGAAAAACGCAACTTTGTCTCCAACTTATGGTTAGAGCTTAGCTCCCACCCTCACATGGTGGACTAGAGGGCTCCTCCCTCTACATATTCACAGAATTCAACTTCTCATTTCGTCGATTGCAACAACTAGGCAACCTTTATCATGCATCATACCCCAACTTCGTAGGGATGGAGCGATTGGAAGACATATATGTTCATGGCGTTCATGATGCTAAACAACTCATCCATGTCCTTCGAGACATACAAGCATTTATTGCCATTAATCACACCCGGTTACCTGTGAAACTCATTGTTATTGATTCCATTGCTGCATTGTTCAGATCACAGTATCAGACAACGCCGGCAGATTTGAAACGGCGGTCTAAAATGTACTTCAAGATATCTGGGACATTGAAGGCTTTAGCAAATAAGTTTGGGTTAGCGGTGGTTGTCACCAACCAAGTGGTGGATTTTATTGGGCCACATGATGGAGTGAATGCGGTGAGGTTGGGAAACTTGGAGAGCTTGCACACATCACGCAGACGGGTGGGTCCAGCTTTGGGACTGGCTTGGGCACATTGCATAAATTCAAGGGTGTTCTTGGCAAGACATCAGCAATCTGTTGGGGTTAACAGTCGTAATGCTCCTTCACCAACTATATCTAGTCAAACACATAGGACATTTGACCTTGTATTTGCCCCCCATTTGCCCCATGCATCGGCTGAATTTGTAATCAGAAAAGAATGTGCAGTAGGAGTATCATGGTAACTGTGTAATAATGAAATTCTAAGAACTTTAATGTTTTGGATCCATTTGGAGTTACATTCTAGGCCCTTTAATTTTGTACTCACAGTTTATATTGCAATAGCAATACCAGTACAATAAATGTACAATATAATGACAATCTGAAGGCAATAAAATATGATAGCGATACTATCGCAATAAATAGGGAACACAACATGTTATATAGCAATGCAACCCAATTTATGCAAATTTAACACAATTCACATTCAACAAACACGAAACACACCACAAATAAAATTAAAGTTGACATTACCTAACAAAGCAACATAAATCATATTGTCTAAGATACATTGCGCAGTGGAATATTGTTTTTACAGATGGTTTTATTATGGCCTGTGGAACCACACCTTGAGCACTTTCTTGCAATGGTGCCTTCTCCTTGCGAGGGAATTTTTAGCTTCTTCCGTCTGCCTGGCATGACCTTTGCCATGGGAGGCAGCACAACTAGACTTCGAACATGTTTAGGAATAATCCACATTGCGTGAGGCTGTACCGGGTAGATGCTATCCAAATAAGCATCCAACCAGGTATTTCAAGTGTAATACCGAGAAGCCTTCGAGTATCCATTTAGTTTCAAGAAGCAGCAAACTGCAACTACATGCTTGCAACGTAGCTGCTCAAGTTGCAACTGTTGTTCGTTACTTAGTTTAACGACATTCGTCCTTGCAGCATCCTCCAACCTATTCCTCAACTTCTTCTTGCCAAAATTGGGGCACAATGTTGTTGTGCAATTCATAGCCAACTCATGATGTTCGGTGAACCATTTCACAAGGAGATTAATAATTTCCCCTATCAAATGAATCACTAGTAGCATCCTTGCAAACCTAAGGACTGAGTTTATTGACTCTACAATATTTGTTGTCATTACATTGTAGCAGCGTCCATCAATGTGAGCTCTAGACCACTTATGTAACCCTACATGTTCAAGATATTGAGCAACATATTCCTTTCTCTCGATCTTCCGAAAATGACAATCAAACTCAGCAATGGAATAACATTTCGCAGCTTGCTCAAAGTGCATAAGTATTTTATCACGCTTTTTCAACTTGCAAGTGCGTTTCATGTTCCCCTTCATATGATAAAAGCATATGCCATGTTGCGATGCTGGAAAAACTTTGTTCCACACATTCTCTATGCTAACATTGCGATAAGAAATGATAACAAGATTGGGACACTCACCAATGGCTTCATGAAGTTTAGTGAAAAACCAATGCCATGATGCATCCATCTCCAAATCCCCGATCCCAAAAGCAAGAGGATATATATTTCGATTGCCATCGAATGCATTTGCTACAAACATAACACCCTTGTACTTGGATTTTAAATGAGTGGCATCAATGGCTATCACTGGGCGCATGGAAGAACGAAACCCTCTAATACATGAGCCAACTGCCATAAATAAATACACAAAGTGATTGTTCTTATCAGTTTGGATGTGTGCTTTGTGCCAGAATTCATATGCTCCAATTCATAGCAATAGGATGGAAGAATATAATAAGCCTCCTTGGCTGATCCTCTAATGGACAATAGAGCTAACTCCCTTGCACTCCAAGCTTTCGAATAATGGATGGTGAAACCAAAGTTGTGTTTCACATCTCTCATTATGTCACTTGGTGTGTATATTGTCCAAGAATCCTTCAACTTCCTTTTAAATGAAGTGGCTACAAGTGCTGCGGTTGCTTAACGATGGTCGTCGTGTACGAACCTCAAATCACATTCATGGACAGCTGTACACCTCACAATCATGAAGTTGTATTCTCCAATTCTCGATGCTCGGACCCGCCATGGGCATGGACATTGACAACAAACCACAAGCAACCTCTTAGTGCAAGAAAATTGCACCTTAAATTCAAAGTGGCCTCTCAATGCCGTCAACCGTAACTCAGTCAACAATGCTCCCTTACTAGAGAAAATTTGCCCAACTGTAATTTTCGGATTCCAATCACTTCGTGAATACCCTGTGTCCAAATATGCTTCTCCATCATTTACACCGACCACATTGTACTGGTTCTATTCACCCATTTGACTCAAATAATGTTCACGAGTGCGTTCAGATTCTCCTCCTGAAGGCATTATTGGCAATTGGGCAGATGTGTTCAAGGGGCCCAAAATAGGAGGGCCAGAGTACACTGACACTTCATTTCTTTCAGTACCATTATCACCACCATGCATCTCTTCCACCTCACTAAAATCAATCATGTCTATAAAATCTGTCCCAACATCACCTCCCACATCAGCAACATTTGTATTATTCCGAGTTACTTCATTGCTTTCAACAATGGCAACTGAAGAACAAAACATCCGACTACTATCTGTCATGATATGCATACTATCAACTACATCATTTGTCAGTCCATTATCTTCTATACTCACGAGTAAGGGAGCTAGTTTTGAAGGTGTTATCTCACAATTGTACTTCATAAAAAATTTGACATCATCATCGTCCTCAATCTTTATGTGCTTCCACTCATTCGAGGTCACCAAAACTGAGAACTTTAAGCAAACCTTGTCTTCCCTACTGTTTGTATTACCAATCTGATGCACACGATCCAACAGTTCAACAAATGTGATGGTCCATGGAACTATTAAGCCTTCTGAGTCACCCCTTCGTATTTGCACATCTTCTTTGAGGTTACCTATTTTCCATTATAGCAAACCAGAATAACCAAGCAATACAATGGCAATATAATAGCAATATAACAGCAATACCACAGCAAAATAACAGGAACACAACAGCAATACAACACTAACACAGCAATGAACAAGGATTCATCACAATCACACTATATAAATCCACTACATCAAATGGAAAATCCAAAGTTTCAAGATTCACATATCTAGATCAATCTAAATGCAATTGGTAAAAACCCAGATGGATGAGCACGAAGATTCAAAAACCCTAACCCAAAGCAATTACAGCCAAAACCAATTTAACAGAAACCCAAGCAATCAAAATAAAACCAATTTCACAGAATCCAAAAGATACTAAGAAAATAACCATCAACACTACCTATTCGAGGTCGGCGATCCAATAGAGCTTCAAGGTTGCAAGTAGCTATTCAGAAGACATACCTAAATTATGGGGTCAAGGGAGGGGTTCGTGATTCAGAACAGAGAACGAGACAGAGCTGCGTGAGAGAGAGAGAGAGAGAGAGAGAGAGAGAGAGAGAGAGAGCAAAGAGAGAGACAGAGAGAAAAGGGGGCTGAGCGAGCTGAGAGAGAACCAAATTTCTAAAAATGTGATATGGGTGCAATCAGTCGACAATAAAGATGTATTTATAGGTGGTAGTTTTAAAATTTTAGGGCAGGGGTGGTATTTTCAGAATAAATTATAAAATTGGTGGCATTTTCAGCTATTTCCCTTCTTTTTTTTTCTTCCACTGTTAGTTTACAAGGGTATTCTTGTTCATTAGCCCTTTGCAGTTAGATATGAGATTGCTCGAAGGAGGGGATTTTCTATCATGTTGGCAGCTCCTTCAAAAATACAAAAAGGAGGACAATGATCGGGATATTTTGCAATGGTTGGCGTTTGGGTTATGGAGGTTATGGAAGAATCGAAATGCTTCCATTTAATAGGGGCATCATATGCACCCACAGGATATTGCTCTCACATGTCAAAAGCAAATTGTGGAGTTTGTGGCGTCAAGACAGGCAAGCATACCGCTTATACATGATCAATTGAAACCTCCAGAGTGGGACCGCAGTGACTTCCAAATTTGACAAAAACCAGCTGATAGCTGGATGAAATTTAATTGCGATGGTGCTTGGACACAAGCGCACATAAAAGGTGGAGCAGGATGGGTGGCTCGAGAGAGTAATGGATGGATGGAAATGGCATGGGGTGTAGGGGGTTTTTTGTGCCAGTCGACTCTGGCTACGGAAGCAGAAGCAGTGCGGAGGCAATGACAACGGGTTTGGAGGCGCGAGTTACCAGGATGATGGTGGAGACAGATTGTAAACAGCTTGTTGCGATGATACATGGAAACATGAAGACAGATACTACTATTGATAGCATTATTCATGATATTAAGTTAATGGCTTCTCATGTGATATCTTTTGCTTTTGTGAATCATAGGTGCAATGCAACTGCTCATCTGATAGCAGCGCATGTATCTCATGTGGGTAGCCCATAATGGGCCGGGCCGGGCTCATGGGCCGATGAGGGCCCGCTTGGTCCATTGAAAAAAATCTCGGGCGGGGCTGTTATGGGCTTTGAGATGGCCCGGCCCATCTTGGGCTGGGCTAGGCTTGGACTTGGGTGTTTGAAGCCCAGCCCGGCTCATAGGCCTAGCCCGATTAAGCCCAAGAAAGCCCGGCCCGGCCCGCCCACACAAGTCATGCCTGTTAGGCCCGCATACATATATAATTATGTTTAAATAAGAGTTTAGGTTTAGGATTATATCACTTAAATCACATATAATTTGTTTCATTTCATTTACTTTTCTTTACTCATTCCTAAATTATAATTGAATGATTAGCACATTAATTTGTGTCAATTATTAATTCAACAATTATATATATATATATAAATAAGATGAACAACATATCACATCACCAAATATAATCATATCACGAAACATAATCGTACAACCAAATATAATTATATTTTTCTTGAACACATCACCAAATATTTGTATACTTATTCATACCATCCTTTAAAAAAAAACTATTTTTTTGATACTTATTATTTTAAAACAAATTACGGTCTAATTATGTAATAACCTCAAAAATAATACTTGGTTTTATTATTTTTGTGGAAAATCTTATTAAGTTGTGTGACTTTATTAGGTGTTTTATGAATTTGGTTTGATGTGAAAATATTGGAATTAAGTGAATTTAATCTCAAATTTGGACTAAAATGCCCTTATGATTAAGTTTTATGATTTTTTTTTAATGAAGTAGGCCTGTTTAGGCCCATCCCGATGGGCTTTCTCAAGCTCGGCCCATGAGTCGGGCTTGGACTTTGAATTTTCCAAAAAAATCCAGGCTGGCCCTATCCGGTATTTTCTCTCCTCTTTAAAACCCGATCCGACCTAGTCTAAGCCCATTAAATTTGGGCCGGGCTTCCAACCCAGCCCATTGACGAGCCCTACATGTGGGTTGGAGGTTTAAATGGGATCAACTTTGGCCTAAGTGATTGTTTGACACTCTTGCTGCTGACGTAAACATTACAATTCGGCTTTAATAAATTTCTTCCACTGTTTGACCCAAAAAAAAACAAAAAAGATATCCTAATTAGTAAGGATTGTTATGTCTAATACCTAATTTTTCTTTTAATCTACCATGTATATTCTGCCATTAGATTAAAAAAAACCAAAAATAGAACAAAAGAACCCCACATCTAATAACTAAGTGCTCGCTTGAAAATGGTAAATTAGACGAGGAAAAGGGAACAATCATTCACTATTAACATCCAAACAAGGGACCTACCAGTTTTTGGATTATCGTCTTTCCAAACCAAATACTGAAATTTGAAAGAGTGGATGCAGACAGGTCCCTGTTGAACCAAATACCGTCTTTCCACAAATGATACCACAAGAAACGTCCATCCTATTTATTGATTAAAAAGACATGTAAAATGTGAACGACAAAGTTCTACAACCAACTGAAAATGATGTTTATTCTGGCCTCTACAATCCTATGCAAAAGGATTTCCTCCAATGGACGCGACAGGTCCCTGTGTCGGGACATTCCTGCCAAAAAAAAGCAACTTCAAATCAATTCAAAAGAGGGTACAAACACAAACATACACACGACATAAAAGCATCAAATGGCTTCCCTAACACCAGGCAAGTTGACTTGCTAAACTCTATCAAGCATCTTCACAATGTAGTTCTAGACATTCAACTTGTCTGGTACCACCAATATACTCACGTCAGACTCCACAGTGAATATTACATTCTGCTATTTTGATGATCGCATGGCAAAATGAAAGCATATATGAGAGTAATTTAGCTTACAGAACTGTCTTAACACTTCCCAATGGAACCAACATTCTCTGCCACCAAACTCTCATGGTTGAAGTATCGAAGAATTGAGAGATTGTTGTGTTCATCACCAATATAAGTATCGAAACATGATGTTCTAATTAAAAATCAGAAACCCCACTACAACATGTTTCCTTAAAGCTTTCAGTTGTGGATTTCGTCTGTGCATTCCTTCAGACCACACAAATATCAAATGAAAAAGAAAAATTGGAACTGAAACTGAAACTTATGGAGACGAAGTAATTGCAAGATAATTTCATTATTTTAAATAATGCGATAAAATAAACTAATAATCCCATCTTTTCAAGTTTATGTATCATGGTTCCATCTGTAGAGACTAATTTTCTTCCCAATGCTTAATTCTTCGTTCTTCATCTTCTAAAAGGTAAAAACAATCCAGCGAAACTATAAATACCCTTATCAGCTCACTCGTTACCCATCATCTCGCTGATTGGATTATTTGATTAAACTGCTATTTGCACTTGGCCAACTTTTCCAAAAGCCAAGATACAGATAAAATATTCAATGGAAAAATGATATAATACTATAACAGCCATAATGAGAAAAGATCACAATCCAGAATACCGAGTAGAAAATGGACTTACGGAATCTGAGAGCTATGTGCTTGCCCTGGCATGTATGTCAATCCACCTACACCAAATCAAAATAGCAATGAATGAAAAGGATAAGATCGTTATGACCATATATGTTTTAATGGTTCTGCAATATGTGTAGTTCACGAACAAAGAGAAAAAGAAGAGAATGTAGCTTCACTCGCACTGAAAAACTTACCTTCTGCTGCAGCTGGATACGACATCCCAGACACTGTATTTTGGGGGTAACCATGCCTGAGATACACCACCAAGGAAAGAGGATTGCAACTGGGCATTTGGGAGAGAAGCTTGTAAGGAGCTCATGTCCAAAAACTGAGACAGATAACGCAAGACAAAATTAGAACCCAGAAATCCAAGAATTGTATACGTTGGAAACTCCGTTCCAAATCCTTCATTAATTTAAATGAAATAAATTACAGTTTTAGAATGATGGTAGACATTGACTAAAACCATCATATTACAGTCTATCAATCGCATCACATGCATAATGACTTGCCCCATGTGATTAAAAACACATTAGTGAGACAACCAAAAAATTAACAAGTGCCTCCTCTAAACACTAATAAGCAATAGATTGGATCTTAGTTTCAGAGACTGGATCTTAGAGGCAAAGGTATGAGCAGCTTTTCTAATCAAGATAGCACCAGCATTACTAACTGTGATCCAATGCAATTATATCAGAGTAGGTTCCTTTGACTTTACTTATCAATTCTCACAATAAACACTAAAAACACTCAGATTTCACAGAAAGTACAGTTTGGTTAAGAAGTCAACTAAGCATCACGCTGTGGTTATCCTTGACAGTTGACAGGTATGGCAGATAAATAATACCATCACTCCACCCTTGCCCCTAATCACATTTCACATTTAAAATTCTCATGCAAACACAACTTAACAAAAAAACCTACGCCATATTACTGATGCAATAACAAACAAAAACATACCACATTATTCGGATCCAGATCTGTATCATAAGGAAGATCAAATGGGTTATTTGATTTGTGGTCAGTGGCATCTGACTTAATTTCTCCCTGTGACTTGGTGGAGGGAACAAAAGAGATTAGAATACTACTAAGAAGATTCCACTAGACAAATCACAGGAGATATCTGAAGGGTAAAAACCATTTGAGGAAGCCCTTGTGGAGTATACGATTGCCCCAAGACAACATGTGAAGGCAGACCAGGATCATGGGGTTCACCTTGGGAGACAGCTCTTTGAATCCCATCTTCACTAGAGTCCTGCAAAACAAAGCCCACCCAATGAGAGGAAGAACATAAACAGTTAGAGAGAATATAAGGTTGATGCAGCAACCTCAGAAATTCTGAATCCCAAATAGCGGTCACCAGCTGACAAAAGCTTATCTGTTGCTCCTGGTTCGCTACCCTTCTTAGTGCCCTCCAATGGAAGGTGTACAATAGAATCTTCGAAAGCACTCCATGACTACTCAAAATAACACAAATCAACCTGATTACATTCCTTCATATTTACTGCATGCCACCATTTCACTAGAGCTTAAATTCAATAGAGTAAAGCATAAAAAGCCCCCACGGGTGTGTTAAGCACACATATGTCATCCATCATAAACAAAAAAAAAAAAAAAAAAAAAAAAAAAAAAAAAAACGACACATGAAACCGACGCACTAAAAACCATTCTTCTGAAACCCATATAAGAATCTGATGAGGGAGCAGTTCTGATCATAATGAGGCTTACCTGAGTGCTTGTGGTATTGGGAGCTGTGACATTGTGCAAACTATCACTCCATGGACTTGAAATATCTGAAGAAGGTCCATGAATGCTAGAATATTGAAATGATGGCCATTGCATGCTTGTATTTGATGGGGAGAATAGATCAAACTTTCCAATAGAACCTCCACCATTGGAAGCTATATTTTCTGGGGTAATATTTTCAGTGCCTGGAACAGAAGCCGATGGCTGAGGTGTATCAAATGTTGCCCATCCTTCACTTTCATGGAAAGAATCGGGTACTTGTTTAGCCAAGTTTGCTGTGGACTGCTGCTGAGGAAAATCAGCAAATAACTCCAAGGACGTAGGTGAGAAAAGTTTAGGACGTTCGCCTACATTCACAGACGAATCTGAACATGATACAGGCGGCTGAAACAAATCTATGGATAGAGATGAAGATGGTGCTGGTAAGTGAAACAAATCAATGGACAGAGCTGCAGAAGATATTTTTGGTTTAACCGGGGCCTTGAAAAGATCCAAGCTATCAGTACTTCCAAAAAGAGATGATCCCGTTAAAGAAATCGATTCGTCCTGGAAGATTCCAGGAGCTTGTTCCGGTTCAAGAGCAGGCATGGAATAGCTACCCGCTGAACCGAAACTTCCAGAGGATGCAGTTCTCTGAAAAGGCAAACAAACAACTGATGTCAGGTGATGGAAAAACCAGGACGAGCATAATATGATCAACAAATAGAAAATACTGCTAACCTAATAGGATTGTGCATACATACAGAGAAAAGCACATCAATGAACATAGCACTTATGGAGTGAGGAAATGGCTCCAATTACTACAATTTCATCTCACCGACACCAAGCCTAAACTAATCGAGTAACCTACCCGAAGAAAACTTACCCAAATGATTAGATGAACTTATATATAGGCACACCCACACATAGGGTAATGTTCTCTTGCCAAACTCATGTTTCCAGAAACACACACACTTATAGGGGTAATGTTCTCTTGCCAGACAGATCCTTATATTGCAAGATTATGAATCTGGACAACATGTTTAGGCAAGAACCAACCTGATAAGTTTCCCAACTTCACAGTCTACCACATAAATGCTTATATTTCCAGCCCGTTTGGCATGAGAACATTTCCCTACACATATATATAAATATATGCATGTGGACTTTCAATTGTGAGGCACCAAAGATTGTTGATCATGTTGTTGAACAGTAAGTTAAACTCAATGCAATCAACGACGTTGGGGGGTGTCGCAGAGGTGAAACACCATGTGTGTGTGTGCATTTTATAAGAGTACATAAATACGGATGCATACAAACACGTGAGTGCATGAGTGCATGCATGCATATGCATATACATACTGATGGGGAAGCCTTTTGCCATCTTACATTGAGTTATAGATAATATAGCTGGAAGTTGTCCTCATAATTTCCAAAGCATCATCACTTCTTCTCCTATGTGTCCTTGTAAGAGCATCCACAATGGGCTCCCTAAACCATCTCCTTAGACAAATTTTAGGGAGGAATTGGAAAAATACAACTCCAACCATGCTCCCTATTCACCTCCTAAAATAGGGAGACTTTTAGGAGCTCCTAAATCTGAAGAGAGAGAAAATTCCTAGTGGCTCCCTATAATTTAATGTTGCTTTATTTTACAAGTATTTTAAACCTTTAATTAATGCTAACTATTTTTTTTAATAAAGAAGGACCAATTAAAAAAGAGTTATAGCATTTATGACTTCCTAAACTAGAGAGTATGATTGGAGTTAAAATTTTATAAAGAGCTCCTAAAATATCTTTTATATGTTTTTAGCTAAATTTTAATTAAAAAATAGAGAGCATGATTGTAGATGCTCTAAGTGTTTATGTGTTTGATGTGTTTGTGTATTTATACAAATTGTATATAATTATTGTTGTGAATGGGCCATATATCTAAGTATGGTAACTGAAAAGCATAGTTGAAGCTACTTATGATGTTTTTTCATGGAGAAAAAAGTCCTCCAACTCATATGGTAAGTGGCCAACAGTCATCTATATTGAACAACCAGCAAAGTCAAAAGTTATATTGCATCCTTATTAAAATAGTGATGGGCACACAACTGAAAAATTAAAAGAATCACTGGATACTGCAAATCCTTTTGAATGTTAAAACCAAGTCTACAAGAAAATAACCTGCGGAAATGTTATCCCCGCTGCATCTCTCTTGGAATTGGCCTCCAAAATACATTTTTCGCTTGGCAGCTTACTTCAGTTAGATTATCCGATGAAGGTGGAAAAGAAGGGCTGCTGGATCCAATCTCCTTCTGAAAATTAGGAGACTGTACTCCAGATCTAGATGCATCACCTCCACTTGAGACAGAAAAATCTGAAACTCTCGAACCAGAGCCCTCATTCGCAAACCTGTCTTCATGCATTTGTTCACTTAATCGGCCAGCACTGTAAACAAAACTAGACATGTTTCCTTCATATCGACCTCGATCAGAACCAGGCTTCCTGGTAAGCACAGCAGCTTGTTTCCCATACCGTCGATCTTCATACTGATAATCATAAGGCGGACTCTGAGAATAAGAATGATAAGAACTAGCGCGTCTTGTCTCGTCTTCACGAATTCTATGGTTCTGCAAGGGATGGCACAAGTTAAGCCCATAATCTCAGCAGAGCAAAATAATTCAAAGTGTAAGATTGTTGGGCGAACACATTCGATATATACATCTTTTGTGCTAGCCTTTGTTGTTTCCACTACACATGCCATATTTAGAACAGATATACTATTCTACATTTGAAAGAAATTTTTCATTATCTTTTGTTTTCCAACAATATCAATATTTTCGCTGATATTTTCATGAATCCAAACTACCAATATATCTTCCAATATCGCTATTTTAATCCATGATATTACCTGCATATCTCTTGGAGGCTTTTCAGAGGTCCTTCCTCCAGCATATTTTCTATCCACATATACACTTCTTATGAACTCACGGATTTTATCAATCTTACTGCGAGAAGAAAATATGGCATGAATGCTTCCCCCAGAAATGCACATACTGAACACTTTAGCAATAAATCATATAGCTATCACCTGTTGTCTGGCAATCGCTGCCTTTGAAGGTCCCAATCCATCAAATAAATTTCCCTCGCACGCTGAAAAGAGTGAATGGCCCATTAGAATGAAAATAAGCAAACCCCTTCTTTCAAGGAAAAAGATAATTCAGCATATACCTGGTTACCACCATTCTGAAGTGCCTCAACTTCTTGTGACGTAAACTTAGACATGGATACCGACTTCACACGATGAGTAAATTCACGACTATATAACAAAATAATATGTATACTTTTATTAGGGGAAAAGAAAGGCGGATCAAGCACATGTGAAACATGCCAAAGGCTCAATAAAATTAGCTAAAGTGATACAAATTCTCCATCCAGCACAAAAAGACCACATCATTTAAAGGTGTGAAAACACACAGTGCTTACGAAGGAAACTACATTAAGTACCAACGTGCTCAAGGTTTGTAAACTCATTTTAGCATGAACTACCAATTGAAGGTTGGAAATGGGGTAGAAATAAAAATCTCAATCTCCAAGAACTAATCATATGGGCATACAAAGCGAGACACAATCATTTAGAGGAATAATTCAGAATAAAGAGTGGCAAAGAACATACAAGCGTTCATAATGAAGCACACGGCTGGCCTGTGCACATTGCAAAAGTATTAATAACAAGAAAAGGAATACTAAATAACAGAAAAAGCATGAATGAATGCATCCTGATGAAAAACACAGCCCTGTCTCTACAAATCTACTAAGTCATTATAGTGTTTTTTGCTTAGTTAATATTTTCCAATAATTAAAACAAAAAAGGAATAGCACATTAGAAAATTTACAATTCAGTTATCTCCAAAAGAACTTTACAATTAATTTATCTTCCAGGTGCTTAACTCTTCTCACCTTCACTGTGGAGCTAATCTCACCTAATCCTCCACTTTTAAATAAAGAAACAAAAATAACTTTAAGATTCACTGCATCATGCATTGCCGAAATACACTGATTAATTGAAAAGGAAAAATTAAAAGCCCTTCTCACTTTTACAATATTTTACGATATCAGACAGTTCAAAACCTATCACATATGCTATGCAAGTAACCAAAATAATTAAACCTAAGAACTCTAGTTTACTCTTGAATATTTTTAAGGCTTCCAAAACAGTTTCACCAGGTGTGACGCTCTAAATTACAGACTTCATATTTGAGGCTGTCCTCAATGTGTTAGCTATGTTTTGGATAGGTAAGATCTTTATAACTATAGCTAAATCTTATCTGGGTAGCAGTAATTTTTTGCACCATTCCATTGGATGACTCACTTAAAACTAAGTCCAAAATTCTTGGCACTTGTTCAATTGAGCTAGACACAGCCCATCAATTGCAAACTGGTTATAATGGAGCGACATGGACAGCTTTGGCTCTGACATGGGCACCGAGCATCTCCCACAGTGATGGTAACCCCCAAAAAGAAACTGGCCCACTTACGAAACAATTGATTGTATAGAGAGAGAGAGAGAGAGAGAGAGAGAGAGAGAAGAAGCTGCAGTTCACTAAGTGGGAAAAAACGTTAATTTCCTCGATATTTGAAGGAAAAAATAATTATTGTCCTAGTTTAATATCTTTGAATACTAATGGTTGCTGACGTGTTAGCTTTAATTTATGGATTTTTATGAGTATTAGACTAGTCCTTAAGCATAATTGTGTAAGCATTAGGTTTAGTTCATGGATGCTATATGAGGCATGCAATTTGATGCCAAAAGTTTCCTATTGTGGTCTGGATAATAACAGTACATATGGATAGGTTTTGCAATAATTTACTGTCCAATCTCCACATATGGGTCAAAATTGAAACTGTTGCATTCAACTAAACTTTTGTGCATATACAATCACATCAATATTCCATATTTACCTGTTCAATATTCATTTTAGTGGCCTTGTTGCACAGATGGCAGCAAGCAGAACAATTCTTCTATAGCCCATGTATCCTCAAAAGTCTAACTAATACTAAGAGCATAATGAAGTAGTTACAAACTTTAGCAAAAAACCTAATACTAAGAGATACAATTGACCAAGCAAAAAAGCAGCAGTCATAGATAGCAGATTAAAAAGGTTTTCCATACCAACTGAAGATCACAATACTAGTAGGACATATACATTTAGTATGAGCAAACAATTATGTGCTAATACAAGAAACTGGGTCAAATTATTTCAAAGAAAAATGAAATTTTAAAATTTTAAATTAAATATAAAAATAAACTGACTGTATGCCGCTGCAAGTAATGCAAACGAATGTCCAGAAATTCGTGCAGACATACTGAGGACCCTGTATGTACAAACAAAATTACACTGAATCAAATCCTCCAGCCGAAAAAAACTTCCGAGAAAACTGAAACATAGAGAGAGACTGGGAACTGTACCAGGCTATTGCAGTTTATGCATCTTCGATTAGGAGGAAGCTTCATGAGGCCTCGTATGATTTTCTCGTTTCGCTCTTCCTCTTTTCTAGTTGCCATTTCTGAAAGCAAATGAAACCCTAGAAGAAGCAGAAGAAAAGGAAGAACGAACCGGAGGGGATTGGGAATGTGCTCTACCCTTGTCTCCTCCTCCGTCTCTCCCTCTTTCTCCCTCTTTCTCCCTAGAGAGAGGCTTTAGGGTTGGTTTATTTTGATGGGGTTTTTGAATTTGGAGAGAGGGGAACGGACTCCGGAATCTGAATCAGCTTCGACTGGACAGCAAGCGCGCTCTGTCCCTTTCCTTTACGAAATTAGTTTTTGCTTTTTAGTGGCATCGTATGTTAATTATGAAAAATAAATAAAAAAAACAAGGAAAGTTAAGAGAGTTCAAACAACCACATATACAGGTAACGGTGTATTGTATAAATCGGGAACTTGTAAGAGCAACTCCAGCGAGACCCCTTTGTCTCGGGCTGGGGGATTTTTTTTGCAAAAAATGGTTTCCACCGGTGAGCCCAAGTCCAGGCTGGAGTGGGTCCCACGCAGCTCGGGCTGGCCCGAAGGCCAGTTCAGCCCGAGGTCCAAAACGTGGGGTGGTGACGTCAGCCCTGCGCATCTCCAACGAGAAGAAGCCACGTGTCACGCCCCCAACCCTCCGATCTGCTTCTCCAAATCCAATCCAACGGCTGGCATTTTTTTGCCAATAAAATTATGAAAAAAAATCGAAATTTTTTAAAAAAAATACTAAAAAATTCTAATTTTTTTCCTATAAATACCTATCAATACCCTTCACTTTCAACACCAATCCTCATACATTTTATTCTACTTCTACTATTACTCAACATTTTATTCACTCTTTACTCAACATTTTCCTCTCTTTCACCTTGTATTTTTATACCATTATTTTTATGGCTTCTTCTATCGAAACCGGAGGGGTGTGGAGCACCATGGAAGATGTTTCTTTGTGTGAGGCTTGGCTCCAAGTTTTTCATTGTTCCGTGACAGGCAATGAGATGAAATTTTTCAATATGTGAAAAAAAATTCATGCCGAATTTTGCGAAAAAATTCCAGGGTCGACTCGTACGGAAATGGCATTGTCGAGTAGGTGGAAAATTCTCAACAAAGAGTTGGGAAAATGGAGAGCTGCCTTGGCAAAAGCGATGGACAACTATAGAAGCGGGGAAAATCGTACTAACGAGGAAAGTATTTTGTAATTTTCGTTTTATTAAGTTTAATGTCCTAATATATATCTATGTTGTTAATATTTATTACATTTTCAATATTTTGTTAATATTTCTTGCATTTTAAATATTTTGTTAATATTTCTTGCATTTTCAATATGTTGTTAATATTTCTTGCATTTCCAATTGTTTCTTAATATTTCTTGCATTTTCAATATGTTGTTAATATTTCTTGCATTTCCAATTGTTTCTTCATATTTCTTGCACTTCCAATTTATTTGTAAGGTTAATTGCATTTCCATTATTTTTTTTTGTTACTTGCATATCCAATATATTTTAAATATTTCTTGCATTTCCATTTTTTTTTAAATAGATGATTCAAGCACAAATGTGGTTCGGTGCAACCGGGGGTGGCAAAAAAAGTTTCAACCATCATGAATGTTGGGAGGTGGTGAAATATTGTAAACGCTTCATAATTATTCCCACGGGTCCCGCCATTGTGTTAAACGAGAGGCCACTCCGTGATTCAACGACATCGGATTCACCTCTCGATTCCCCTATGAGTGAAGACTCACACATCGAAAAGGGGCCGAGGCCCATTGGCCGAAAGGCTGCGAAGGCAAAGAAAGCGGGTAATTCAAGCAATAATAATTCAAAGTTTTTGGAGAAAATTGCAAGGCAGAACGCCATAAGAATTGAAATGGAGCATAAACGCCAAGATATGGAGGTGGCAATTCAAGCTGAGTGTGCACGAGAAAAGGAGTATTTGCGCAAAAAAGATATGGAGAAGACGGATCGAGAAACCATGGCGATGGATACAAGCCATATGTCCCCTGAAACAAAACAATATTGGAAGCTAGAACAAAGGGATGTTATGAGAAGAAGACTTTTCCAGGATGATGGGCCTAGCAACACGGATTGGTTAAATGATCAAAACCATTAAATTAGTTGGCATACCTTTTATGTATTTTTATTTTTCATGTTTTCTATTAAAGTTGTTGTACTTCATGTATTTTATTTTAGTAGTAGTAATTCTTAATGACTTGTATTGGATTTCTTTATTTAATAAACAAAGCATTCAATAAAAGACCTTTTTATTCAACATATTCCATAATCAAACAAAACATAATTAAAAAAAAACTACAAACAAGGCACAATAATAATAACAAACCACAACCAAACCATAACTAAATAAAACATAACCAAAGCATCTATGCTCCATCATTCATCTTCATTGCCTTTCATCGCCCATAGATGCTCCATCAAGTCAACTTGACGCCTTTCATGAATATACGAAGATTGCATCTCTGTATATCGATCTATCATCTAGGTCATGAAACGACCGTCCCTCACCAACGGTTCCGGCTCAAACGGTTCTCCATTTGGCCCCATGGGCCTTTCATAAATCCGGGTCAAGGGCGTGTTCATTAGATCCGGTTCGTAGACCTCTACAGCATAATAATCGTACTCATCCTCCACAATCATATTATGGAGGATGATGCAAGTCATCATAATGCTTTTGAGGATCTCATCATCAAACATACTGGCCGCACCTCGAATAATCAACCACCGAGCTTGAAGGATGCCAAAACACCTTTCGACATATTTCCTGTATCCTTCTTGATAGGTAGCAAATAATTTTTGCTTCTGGGATCGGGGATTCAGAATGGATTTGACAAATGTGGTCCATCTTGGGTAGATGTCGTCAGCTAGATAATACCCCGTCTGGTAGACTATATTGTTGACTTGATAGGTGATATTGGGGCCTTGGCCTCTCAAAACATCGTTGAAGACCGGAGATTGACCCGGCACGTTGAGATCATTTTGGAATCCGGCAACTCCGAATAAGGCATGCCAAACCCATGTGTCAAAGCCAGCAAGGGCTTCAAGGATGATACTTTTTTGGCCTTTTCTATTTCCGTAATCACCTTGCAAGGCAGTTGGGCAATTCTTCCATTGCCAATGCATGCAGTCGATGCTACCAATCATTCCTGGAAATCCTCGAGCTTCGGCTTTTTGTAGAAGCCGTTGGAGGTCCCTGGGAGTAGGTCTACGCAGATAGTCCCTAGTGTACAGATTTTCAACTGCATCACAAAATCTTACCAAAGCCTCCAACGTAGTGGACTTCCCCATTCAGGCAATCTCATCCATCTGATCAGCAGATGCTCCATACGCCAACATTCGTATAACAGCTATAAGCTTTTGCTCCGGAAAAAGCCCCAAAACCCCAAAACCCCAACAGCATCACACTTTTGAACAAAGTATGCATCATAATTGCAAATATCATGCATGACTTTATTGAACAAATGGGGTTGCATTCTAAATCGCCTTCGAAAATCAACATCAGAGTACAAAGCAGTTGGGATAAAATAATCTTCCAAAAGATTCTTACCCCGAGAATGCCTACATCTGTCCACATTCCGGCGACGGCCGACTTGTGAACCACTGAGGCGACCTTGGTTCTCTTCATCTTGCAAAGCCACTGCTATGAGAACTTGTTCATTGACTTGTCTCTGCAACTCATTGATTTCATTAGCTCTACGGTTTCTCTCATTTCTTTCTCGCTCTTGCCTAAGTATCTCCTATATTCTTCCATTGAGAATGAAAGGAGTATGAATTCTAAACTCTAAGAAATGAAAATATAGAAAGATGTGGTGTGAGAGGTATGAGCTGAGCCTCTAGTTTTATAGAAAATTTTGGCAAGATAGAGATGCCACGTGGCTTGATTTGATTGGATGAAAATCTTATATGAAATTTGAAATTCATCCGAAATTTGAACCCATATTTATCTGAATTTTGAATTTTGAAATTCATCCGAAATTTGAACCCAAAAATTTATCTGAATTTTGAATTTTGAAATTCCTCCGAAATTTGAACCCAAAAATTTATCTGAAATTTGAATTTTTGAACCCAAAAAATCTTATCCGGAAATTTTATCCAATTATGAATAGTCTTGACACGTAGGAACCCGGAAATCTTATCCGAAAATATTATCCAAATTAATTATTGAGGTAAAAAAATTTGTGAATAAAACAAAAAAATTGAATAGTAATTGCCCTTAGTCATGGCAACGGGTGGAAACACAAAATACTATTTGTAAAGGCAACCACTATTCACGTGAATAGGGCTGCCCTAACTCCCCCCTTGCCATGGCTAAGGGCAAATGGGTGGAGTTGCTCTAAATAAACCAAAATAGGTGTAGTATTTATTAAGAATGATAAAATTAGGGGATGTATTCAATTAGGATTCTAGAGCGTTTAAAAAGATTTTGTTGCTAGATTTTATAGAACTTGATGAAACTTTACCCTCCGTTTGGATGAAGAAATTGAAAATTACATAGAATTCTAAAATGATGGAATTTGGATTTCCATCATTTCAATTTCTGGCAATTGAAAATTTCAGTGTTTGGATTTATGTATGTCGAATTTTCTAAACCACAGAATTTTGTAAATGGCACTATGAAAATTGTGAAATGATGCCTATTTTGGTGGAAATTAAACTCGGGACTTTGATAACCCAATTTCCACGATTTTTTCAGCGTGTTATTTAAACCCGCGCTCAAAAATATTTATTTTGAGCACGGGTTTTTCTGGTCCAAGTTTATCTTGTTTTTACCATCTTAAGTTGTCAAACAAGGGAATTGTCAATTTCTCCTCTTAAATTCCCGACTTTAACTTAAATTCCGAGTTATTTTCTCTCATCCAAACGAACCATTAGATTTCGTATAGACTTTTAGAAGACTTCTATATAATTTTTTAATTGACTTTCTTAAGATTTGTATGGTTTTTATTCCAGACTTCTATAATTTCTTTAACATATTTTAAAAAAAACATATGCTTGTGAAAGGAGATTTGTATGGTTTTTGACTTAAGCTTCATCAATAACAGATTATCGCATACAAGCCTATGGTATCTAGGTGCAGGACGCATGATTCTCCTAAGGCATGTAATTGTGCATGGTATCTACACAACATGTGATCTCTAATATGCAACCTAAGCATGGTATCTACTTAGAATAAAGCATACAATAGTCATTAAGCTCCTTGAGAATATGATAATCACACAAGTCCTAGAACATGATATCTGTCCTAATCAACCTATGGTTATTAACCCCTTGAATGATTCTTAGGCCATTCATGTGTTGCTTGTGAAAGGAGAGTAGAATTGGTGAATCTAAATCTCTTCCCAACCTGTGCTAGATGCATAAAATCCTAGTTAGCTACTCCAAGAAAACATACATCAAGCACATAATAAACTGGAGATTAACAACTTGATAATGAAAGCAAGGAAATCAATTAACTATAAAATCATCCATAACATTGAATATTCATGACTAGGGCTTCATCCTAAGCCCTAACTAAATGGATTAGTTAGACATAGATGAGTACAGAAAATAAGAAATACATAGATAGGATAAAGAGAGGAGAAGAACTAGATGATGGCAACAAGGAATTCCCAGGATAGCTCCAAGCTCTCCTCTCTCTTTGTGGTGAATCTGAATGTGTGTATGAGAGTAATGGATGAAGTGAATGTGTGTGTCTGCCTTTTTTGAATGAGTGTGTAGCTCTCTATTTATAGAGTGCAATTTCGTCCTCCCCTTTGGCTGGTGAAACACACCTCTCTTAGCTGCTCCCAACTGCTCCAACTGCCCATACTTGCCAACTGCATCAGCTGCCAAATACATGCTTTGGTATGGTTTCTTTATGGAAAGCTTGAATTTTGTTCATCCTTCTGAGTTCCTGAGCTAATTTGACTCCCATTTGTAGCACATGGCTCTAGGGATGTAGCCACATTAAATGTGATGGCAGCCAACATGTCATTTCTGTGAACTTGGTTCAGTCATTGACATGTTGAGGGCTCCAGATTTATCCAATTGGGCTGAAATTTGGATATGTTATAATAGACACCCATTGGAACACCTTCTATCAAGGATGTCTCCTCATCCGACCTGTGTAAGTTGCTGAAATGAGGCCTGCAAGATGACCTACGAAACTGAATTGACAAGGAGTGTGGCCCAAATTGGGTTTGTCTTTAAGCTCATATTCCTCTTATCCTAATCAGCCCTTAACATGCATGAATTGTATCAAAGGTCATCCCCTTGCTGTCTTAACCTACAAAACACACAAACATAGGTAAGAGACTAAAAATAAAGAGAAGCTAAACAAAATTACTAAGCAAAGAAGGCATGCAAATGTGTGAAATTATGACCTTATCACCTACCTGATCTCTTAAATCCTTATTTCCACTATTCTTCAAGTATTCACAACTTGGCCGCAAATGAACATAATACTTAATCAAGATCAAATAATGAATTTAATTTGCATAAAACCATTTATGAAAGCAAAGGTCCACTCACTCCTGGTCCAAGCTAGCTGGACCTCTCGAAGGTCCTTCTTGCGGGTCGGTCCAGGCTCGTGTGCCTGATTAAACCATCATGAATATTTATTAATAAACTACTCAGTATAATATATAATAATCACTACTACAAAAAGTGAAAAAGACGACCAGAAAAAGACGACGGTAGAAGAAAAAACCGTCGTTGTATTTAAAAAGACGACTGTAACAAAAAACCGTAGTGGATAAGTGACTTAAACAACTAAAAAACGGAGGTACTGTTGAATATTTTTTTATAACGGCGCACACAAATAAAAAGCATCGCCTTATTAAAAAGGTTTTCTTCAGAGTTAAAATCTGACCAAAAAACAACGACAGTAGGTATGACAAGCGTCGTCTTTTAAAAATCAAATGACCTTTTTTTGGTAAAGACATGGTTGTTTTGAAAGAACTGTCGTCTATTATATGTAAAGATGACAATTTTTTTTTAAAAATGGTCGTCTATTATGAAGTAAAGATAACAGTTTGTTTTTAAAAGAATCGTCTATTATGAAGTAAAGATGACGGTTTTTTTTTAAAAAAGGGTCGTCTATTATGAAGTAAAGATGACGGTTTTTTTTTAAAAGGGTCGTCTATTATAGGTAAAGATGACGATTTTTATAAAAAAGGGTCGTCTATTATGAAGTAAAAATGATGGTTGTTTTAAAAAAAGGTCGTCTATTATATGTAAAGATGACGGTTTTTTTATAAAACAACCGTCGTCTTTATATACAATCCACGACGGTTTTCATAAAAAACTGTCATCTTTACATACAATAAATGACGGTTTAATTAAAAACAGTCGTCTTTCCTCCTATAATTAACGATCTTTACCTCTAAACAACGACGATTTTCTTTAAAAACCGTCGTCTTTACAGATAAACAACGACGGTGGAAAGCCGTCGTAGTTTGACACCCAAATAGATGGCAGTCGATTTCATGACGGTTGGAAAACCTTTTACACGACAGTGGTTTCCCGTCGTCTATTTTGATTTTTATAGTAGTGAATTAAAACCCTCACCCCCAGCTCCTAACAGTGGGTGCACTAACTTTAAAGTCATTCCTATGCCCACAAAAGCTTTCCTTACATTTGGAATGGTTTAGAAGTGCATCGGGACTCAAAAAGCGCTTAAAGTCCCAACAGTCAACCCAGGACCTCGTGGGTTCATGACCTTTAAATTCTGATCTGGAAGCTCCTAAAGGTTCCAATATACCTAGGACACAAGTTTAGAGAGTTTGATCTCGATCAGGCAGTCGGATAGATCACGATCGTACAATCGGCGGTTGTTGTAACCCTAGCCCTAGGGTAAGCATTTTCGGAGTATCCAGAACTCTGATTTACGATTCGTCGACTCCTATACGATCCTGGAATTATCTAAATCAACGTATCTAAAAATGACTACGATCCAACAGCTCGAACATATCAAACCCGAAAATCACACAATATGCGAAATCCATTCGAGATTCAAACGACATCCAAATAGGAATCCGAGCACATCTACGTGCTCATGACAACTAGGGAATCGCATTGGGACAAAATGTGGCCTCACCACCTTGCCCACACGCCACCACATTCTTCGGCAGTGCGTGGGTGTGTAGAGTAATTTCCGGCAACGGAAAAACTCTACACCGTCGGCCACACTTCCTACCACAGCTACTTCACGAGACGGGGATCATTTTGTCTAACTATGGGGAGGTCCAATTTGGACGGCAACCGGCCGGAATTTCGATTTGAAATCCGGCAAAAACCTAAGTTCCAAAATCGATTACCTAAACACGAGTATCGTTCAATTCCTACCCAACAGATAGCTAGGGCTTGGAAAAAAGAGTGAGAAACCTCACCTGATCCGTCTGAAATAGGTGGCGGCCGGAGCTGTGCGGGGGTGGAGAGAAATCGAATCAAACCAGTCGACACTATCGACGGGATTCAGGTTTTCCGACCGGGAAAACTGGCAAGTCTTGATCGGGACGTCGAACCGGATCAATTAGGACCGGTGCCGGCCCTTGCCATGGCCAAAGCTGAGAGAATTGAAGAGAGAGGGTGACGGTGTCGGGGAGAGAGAGAGAGAGAGAGAGAGAGAAAAGGGATTTCTGGCTTTTCTAAAACGAAGTTCGAGTTATTTACGGTTATGCCACTAAAACATTTATGATTGTAACTTCTTCATTACGACTTCGATTCGAGCCCACTACATGTCTACGAACTCATTTCGTCGCACTCTACGCAACGGTGCAAGCGGAATTTCCAAATTCCTCCCCAATCAAAAAGCCAACTTTAAATCTAATAAAATATTCTAAGGGCGTAATTGTCTTTTCCTCAAACAAAATAACAATTAAATATTATTTAAGGACCGGGTTATTACAAAATAAGTAGAAAGTCACGAAACTCAAGGATGAGAAATTCAAATTGATAAAAGCACTAGGACAATGAATTCACCACTAGTAATCTGATTTGGCCTCCTATTCACCTACCTATTAACTAACAATTTGATGTCGCCGCTTAGTTTTCCTTTTTCATGAATTTCCTATGGTATTTAGGCTAACTCATATATTCCTACATGCAATTCACCTATGGTATTTAGGTCAAATATCAACACTTAGAAACTCATTAAGATCAATGAAAACCTCGAACAAGCATGTAAACCCTAGGAGTATGGTATTTACCATAGACGAATTACATATCCTAATCACAAGAAGCAAGCCTCAAATTAAGTATGGTATTTACTCTAATTTGCATCCGATTAACTCAATTAAAAGTCTAGATGGTGATCAAGCATCAAGATAATCAACCAAGTTATTAAGCACAATGATTAAAAATCCAACATCAAACAGCAATCAATAGATAGGTAAAATAAGAAAACTAGATTATCATACTAGGGCTACATCATGCCCTAGCAAAAGAAAATTAGTTACACATAATCATAGAATTTGACAAAACAAAGACATAAGGAAGAAACAATCAAACTTAGCCAATTGTGGTACTCTTCCAACGTCAATAATTTCTCCTAGTCTTTTCCTAGCCTTTTCGTGCCCCCTCAGGAGTTGTTTCTATGCTTAAATAAAACACCACATGTCTATTCTCACCCTAGTTGGGCTTTTACAGCAGCCCAACAATAAAGAAAACCCTAATAAAACATAAATCCAAAATGGGTAAGTGATCAGTTCACAATTGCATATCATTTTGTACCCTTCTAACTTATGATTTGGTTATGTTATTGAGTCAAACGTGTGCTTTTAATCCCTTTTCTGTTTATCATTCAGTTAATGGGCCTTAGGTAGCAATGGTGCCTTTGGATAAGAAAAGATGCAAAATGGTGCAAAAACGAGCAGACTGGGTTGGCAACTCATTTCGGCCTTAACGTCTTTCTCCCAACTTTGATTGGCCCATATAATATGTGCCTGGAAAGATGAGAGTCTGAACTGCAAGATGGACTACTCAAATAGATCAATTGATTAAGTCAAGCCCAATCCGTGAGCCCATCAAAATGCACACCATGCTCAGGAATGCAACTGCTAGCTGTTGAGCCATGTGCTGACAAGACAGCATGGAAACTCAGAAGGCATGGGCAGCTGACATTCCTAGAGGCATGGGCTACACATCAAATCAGCATGGAAACTCAGAAGGCATGGGCAGCTGACATTCCTAGAGGCATGGGCTACACATCAAATCAGCAGCATGGGAACCTAATGGGCAGCTCAGACAAGTGGGAATAGCTAGGAATGGGTGTGCTTCACCAGCCAAAGGGGGAGCACGAATTTGCACTCTATAAATAGAGTGATGCACACTCATTCAAAGGGAGGGTCACTCCATTCAGCCTAAAATTCACTTCAGCCATCCTCTAACACTCCCATCCTTCCCCAAACACTCCATTCAGCCCCAAATCACCAAAACAGCTCCAACAAGCCTTCCTTCCATTTCCCTACGAATTTCCTCTTTCTCTGCCATCACCACTCACCCAAACTCATCCCAAATCACCTCTTTAGTTGCCATACTCTAGATGTGAGGAAGCTCTTGGAACAGCATTAGGTGTGGAAAAGCACTTGGAGAAGCCTTGGACACCACAAGTAACTTCAGAAATGGGTTTTTTCCACTCTTATTACATTCATTATGTTTTCTCATTTCTGTTTAAGTTTCATTTCCATTATGAGTAGCTAAATTCATAACTAGGACTTCGGTGTAACCTAACATGAATATTCTGGGTTTATAAGTTGAAGTTTTGAGTTTCAAGTTTGATTCATGATTCATGTTCTTATTCATTATGCTTATCAGTTAATATGCTTGTTTGGATGATTGATCACCATTAGAACTTGTATATTAGCTATCTTGGTTTGAATCAAGAGTAGACACCATGCTTTGATTCGAATTGAACTATGAATAAGAAAAGTATGTGTGGACATTCGACAACAGGGATCAGATACATGCTTGGTTGTTTAAATTGTTCTTCTATGCTTAATGAGTTCCTAATGCTTAATTTAGGTTAGACAACAAATGATCAAGTTAGGGAATTAGGAACACAAGGTTAGGACCAGACACCATGGCCTAATCATACTTTAGCTAGAATCAATCTTTGAATCTGAATTAGACTTGTCACTTGACTCCTTATAACTTAGAATTGAATTGTTATGGTGAATCGAATGCCCTAGTCTCCCAATCTGTTTTCCAGCCCACAAAAACACTCTTTGTTACATTTGCTCACTTTGCTTTTGTTTGAAATTTCGTTTTGCCTCATTTGTTCAACAATTACAATCACTCTTGCTTTAAATTCTATTTTAGACTTAACCTCCTACTTTCTTGAATTTGGTAATCTAAGTACATAACTAATTTTAACTTCTCAGTCCTCGTGGGTACGACCTCGTACTTGTCTTGCTATATTACTAATTGGCCCGTACAATTGCGAGTTAACATATTAACAACAAATTTTGGCGCCGTTGCCGGGGATTGAATGAAAGTTCTTCCCTGGTTATGTGCCCAAGGTTACCCTATTCTTTTAGTAGTACTAATTAACTCAAGTTATTTTCTGTTTCAGGTAGTTTATGTCTAGAAATCCCTTACTTGAACAAGTGAGGTCTTCATTCCAACGTTCGAGATCTTTGAACACAAGACCATCTTTGCAACCAAACCGGGTGATCTCTGAAATTCAGAATCGTCTAGAAAGAGAGTTGGCAACTGCGAAAGAGCAAGCCATTGCCACATTTGAAGGTCTTGCTATCCACACTGACCTCCCAGGTTCTTCACCTTCAAATTCGGAATCAAGTTCAGACCAAGAAGAAGAAGAAGAGATGGCTGCCAATGAGTTCATGGGAGACCTTGATATCCCAACAATTCCAGCATCCCCTTCAAGCATCTTGCTGCCCACCGCAGCTCGAAACTATGAGCTTAAATCTTCTCATCTTAATATGTTGCCTTCCTTTTATGGTTTACCTAATGAAGATCCATTAACCCATATAAAGGATATTTTTAATGCTGTGAGCTCTTTTCCCTTGACAGGTGTGACGGAAGATCAACTTCGAATGAGAGTGTTTCCTTACACTTTGAAAGACAAGGCGAAATATTGGTTGAATTCTTTGAAGCCTGGTTCACTCACGACTTGGGGAGCCATTCAAAAGAAGTTCTTAGAAAAATACTTCTCCACGCAAAAAACCGACATGCTTAGGGACAAGATCTTACTATTTGCACAACAAGATGATGAGTCATTTTGTGAAGCATGGGAGAGATTCAATGGGCTGCTCAATCAATGTCCTCATCATGGGATTCCATTGAAGCTTCAGATGCGTATGTTTTATAAAGGACTAACCCCCTCTAGCCATAATATTGTCACTAATTTTGCAGGTGGTTCTTATAAGACTAAGACTCCAGAAGAAACATATGAACTCTTTGAGGAGATAGCAATGGAGACCCAACACACCGATACAAGAGGTAAACGTATTGCTGGTGGTTCTAATGATTCTTCCAGTGTGCAGATTTCCAAATTGGAACAAAAACTTGATGCCCTCCTTGCATTGAACTCAAGAAACCCTTCAAAGGAAGTGTGTAGCATCTGTGAAACTCATGATCATCCTACCATTTCTTGTCCCCTTGGGGCTGCATATCCAGAATTTGTGCAAGAGCAAGCTAAGTTGGTGAATTCCTACAACCGAGGTCCAATAAATGATCCATATTCTCAAAGTTATAATCCAGGTTGGAGGAATCATCCAAACTTTTCATGGAGGAATACACAGAATCAAGCGAATCCCCCTTCACTCCAAAGGCCACAACAATCATCATCGTTGGAGGATATAGTGAAGCAAATGGCAATCAACCAATCCAATTTCCAGCAAACTACACAAGCTGCCATCTCCAAGTTGGAAGTCCAATTAGGCCAGATAGCTACTGAAATAGCTCAAAGAGAACCTGGGAAATGGCCAAGCCAAACCGTGATCAATCCAAAAAACCAAGAAGCCAAGGCCGTTCATGTGCTCAGATCAGGTAAGATTGTTGATAACAAAGTTGGTTCTGATCTATCAAATGATGTTGTGGTTGTAGAGGATGAAGATGAAGAGGAAACCACAGCTATGGATGGAGAACAACCCAAAACGTCCCAATCTGCTCCTAAGGCCAAATCTGATTCTCAGGAACCCAATCCATTTCAATTGCATAAAAGAGATGACAAATTTGTGCCATCGCATCTTCATCAAGATAGATACATCCCACCTCCTCCATATATTCCACCGATTCCATTTCCAGGCCGTTTGAAGAAGGCAAATCAAGATAAGGCTTTTAAAGAGATTTATGATATTTTGAGTAAAGTTAATATCAATTTGCCCTTGCTTGATGTTGTTAAACAGATTCCTGCATATGGAAAGTTCATCAAGCACTTGATGACTCACAAGCTTAATTTTGCTCCAAGTGAAGAAGTAAAGCTCAACAAGAATGTGAGTGCTGTGTTGCAAAGGAAGCTTCCACCAAAACTAGAAGATCCTGGCAGCTTTGACATTCCCATTAACATCGGAGATAAGACGGTTGGAAGAGCCATGTTGGACTTGGGAGCAAGCATCAATGTAATGCCATATTCAGTTTATCAGGAGCTTGGCTTAGAAGGGATAAAGAAAACCTCAATTCGTCTTGAACTAGCTGATCATTCTATCAAATATCCTAAAGGTATTGTAGAAGATATTTTAGTTCAAGTTAATACACTCATTCTTCCGGCTGATTTTGTAGTGATGGATATGGAGGATAACCCATATGGAAACCGCGTTGATCCCATTCTCCTCGGGCGACCATTCATGGCCACTGCAGACACAATCATCAAAGTGAAAGATGGCACCCTCTCCATGACTGTTTTGGGTGAAACTGTTGAATTTAAAGTGTTTGATGCTCTCTCTCAACCTTCTATCACTCTTGATACTTGTTTTTCAATTGATGTTGTGGATCATGAGGTTTCTTCTAAAATTATGCAGAAAAAGTCTAATGATGCTCTAGAAGCGGTCCTAACACAAGAAGAGGAAGATCTCTATGAATCAGAGTTCCAAGAGGTGATGGCTGCCTTAGAAGTGTTTCAGCCATACCCACCATCCTTTAGGCCACCGATCGAGCCTCTTGGACCATCCTCCACAAAATTGGAGCCATCCATTATTACCCCACCAAAGCTAGAACTTAAACCTCTACCCAATCATCTTAAACATACTTATTTGGGTGCTAATGAAACTCTCCCTGTTATAATTGCTGCAGGTCTCACCTCACATGAAGAGGACAGCTTAATTGAAGTTCTGAAAGAGCATAAAACAGCCCTTGGATGGACCATAGCAGACATCAAAGGAATTAGTCCAAGCATGTGCATGCACCGAATTTTAATGGAAGAAGACAGCAAACCATCTCGTGATGCACAAAGAAGGCTAAATCCCAACATGAAAGAGGTGGTTAGGGCTGAAGTTTTAAAGCTACTTGATGTGGGAATCATCTACCCAATTTCAGATTCTAAGTGGGTGAGTCCTGTGCAAGTTGTTCCAAAGAAGTCCGGAATCACCGTTGTAAAGAATGAGAAGAATGAGCTAGTTCCAACACGAACTATCACTGGTTGGAGAGTTTGCATCGATTACAGGAAGTTGAACACATCCACAAGAAAAGATCATTTTCCCTTGCCTTTCATTGATCAAATGCTTGACCGTTTATCTGGCCATGCTTACTACTGTTTTCTTGATGGATTTTCAGGGTATAATCAAATTCCCATTGCTTCGGAAGACCAGGAGAAAACCACGTTCACATGCCCATTCGGTACATTTGCTTATAGAAGGATGCCATTTGGTTTGTGCAATGCTCCAGCAACTTTCCAAAGATGCATGATGGCAATCTTTTCTGATATGGTGGAACGATTCATGGAGGTATTTATGGATGATTTTTCAGTTTTTGGTTCATCTTTTGATGATTGTCTTCACCACTTGTCTCTAGTGCTTAAAAGATGTCAGGAAACAAATCTGATTTTGAATTGGGAGAAGTGTCACTTCATGGTAAGACAAGGAATTGTGCTAGGCCATGTTGTTTCAAGCAAGGGAATTGAAGTGGACAAAGCCAAGATAAATATCATCTCAAATCTACCACCCCCTTCCTCTGTTAAAAGAGTTAGAAGCTTTCTGGGCCATGCCGGATTCTATAGAAGGTTCATCAAAAATTTTTCGAGCATTTCAAGACCATTGTGTAATCTCCTTGCTAAGGATGCTGTTTTTGAGTTTGACGAAAC